TAGCCACTGCACAACCAGGGACACTGCGAAAGATACTAACTGCAAAAGAAAGGCATTTCCCTCACAATTGCATAATGAACTTCCCAGTTCCTTGTCAGTCTTATCCCTGTGCTGCCAAGCTGGATATAAGAGGATATCTCCACTACAAAGGCTGGCTTCTAACCGCTCCAATTCCCTGCTCACACAAACAGCTGTTACAGCACTGATTTCCTTTCAAGCTCCATCGCTAAAGATGGTGAGACTCACACCTGGCAAACAACTCCTACAGCAGCTTGTCAGTGAGAACGATGCACCTTCAGAAGGAACCTCTCATTCAGAGAGCAGCTGTGGAAATCAGAGCCTAAAATAACAGAGCTGCTCCCTGCCAGATTTCCTTGAGAATTAGGTATGTTCAGTCTCAACCTTTGCCCACTCCCAAAATTCCTCTGTAACCAAGGCATAGAAGCATTTCTAGGAAGGAAAACTTAACTAGTTTCCACCAAATTTTAAGACCATTATTTCTGAAGTCACCTATGTAAAATTGCAAATAGAAATATAGGACACAAAACTGTTGAATTTACTACTATGCAACTGTGAATCTACTACTCACCAACTGCACAGCTGTTATTAAATGAAAATAAAATGAATATTTATCGCAAGGAATTAGGTGGGAGAGACCAAATGTAACAAAAATGAATTAAAGAGGAAGGGACTGCAGTGGATTAGTCCCTGGAAAAAAACAAACAAACAAACAAACCAACCAACAAAACAAACCAAACATAAATTACAGCCAGCGTTTTCCCTCCTTAAAAGCGTTTGCCCATTACACTTAACATCTGATCTACAAGTAGAAAATTATTTAAAATATAGTTTCTAATTAAGCGACCCAAAACAGTTTAAGATAGCTTAAACAGTTCAAGTAGCTGAATTGAGTGATCCCTGTAAGTATTGGATCTATTACTCAGTAAATAACAGTAAAATATAGTATTACAATATACTAAACTGGTATTTCATTACATTCAATTGAGATACTTAAAGAGCAACAATGAAGGCACACTTGCACATTTGCACCCTTCTCAGTACAGTCAAGGTTTATATACTTTTTATATTTTCATTCCTAGAAAAGAACTGCAGAGAGACAAACACTATAATAGGAAGCAGTACAACGCAGTCAAGCACATGAGTTACACCAGCAGGAAGCAGGCAGGACAGAAGAAGAACCCTGAGGGCAGTTCTTGCTCATCCGGGGAATGCCAGAATCTCAGGTTGAAGCCTGGAACAGTAACATATCTCCACACAATTTAAATCAACAGCATGGAGGAGAGACTACCAAAGCACTGTTCCCCACTTTTCCTTGAACAAAGTGATCTAACTGTAAACTGTGTAACTTATAAACCACATGGTTGTAGTCTGTAAGGCACAGTCCTGTAGAGGACAAATACTATCTACAAAAGTAGGTCCCGTTAGTTGAAAATAAAGCTACCATACAATAGACATAACCTGACAATATCAGAACATCAGTATTTGAAACAGAAAGAAATTGTTAAAAATCAGTGAAAACTAAATAGGAAAATATCCATATTTTTAAGATGAAGCCTTCACTAGGAACATGTATTTTGACCTGACACTTCCAAAAATAAACTAAAAATGTTAGCAATTAATTTAGCATGATGTATTTACAGTGCACAGTATTTCTTCAATTTGTACATCTTATCTAGCCCAAAAGCCCCTCAAACTACTACTACATAGATGACAAAGTATCTTTTATTGAAAGTAATTAACCAGCCTCTATTACCTTCTACTGAAAGTAATTAACCAGCTCCATTACCTTAGACATAACAAACATAGTCAATTTTTCAATTCAACAGAAATTTGGTTTCCCTTAACTCCAGTTCATGGTATTTAATAAAATGATACAGATACACACTAATAAAAAAGTCACTTTAATATATTCATTATACAGACTGAATACACAACTTTATATGTAAAAATGTTACAGATATTAATAAAATTTGTCTAGTTTTAAATTTTTCTCTTCTTCAAGAGTTGCAACATCCTTGCAGTAAGTACACTCCCTTTTTTTCCCCACTGTGCTTATTAATAGGAGGCAGAGTAGAAACTGCATTAAGGTAAATATATATAAAGCACTGTATATTTTCTCATTCCCAAGACTCTTTAGCTTTGTGATCCTGCTAAGAACTGATGTTTTGCTTGCTTCAATCTTCAAGTTCACTATGGAATTTCTACAGGAACATACTAAGTATTGCAAATTAATTTAAATAAAAATGTACTTTGTACTGCCTGTATACTTCACCTATAGGTGAAAGATTCCTACAAACAGGGACAGAGGATAATAAACCTATCCATGTAGGATTTAAATGACATGTAATAAAACAATAAACTTTAAAACATTCAGGAAGCAAAAGATGATGCAGAACGCAAATTGTGCCATTTTCCACAATAATATCAAGCAGTTGCTTTTAATCAGTTAAGGTATTTTTAGAAAATTGAGTTCTTGATTTTTTGACCTTTCATATCAAAGTAAAGTTAACACCAAGTAAATTGAGATAAATTACAATGATGAATGTTCGAACAGTATTACCTGTGCCTGACTTTCTGATGCTGTTCGCTTGAGCAGCCTAATTTCATCCAGTTCTGAATGTCCAACTGATTTCTGAGTTAGTGGCTGCACTGGGTCAGTTATGTTATATCTGCCAGGCTGATAAAAGCCATAATATTCTATTCTCTTTTCCCCTGAGTTTTCCAGAACATTTAGTTTCTGCCTAAACTGAATAATTTTACAGGTTAAGAACAGGATTACAGCACAAGCCAGAATGAAAAAGCCTAGTAAAATGTCAAAAGCCTGATTCAGCTTTTCAACCTGTTGTGCACACTTCAGGGATGTTTTTAATGACACAGGAGCAACATCTTTTGGACCTTGTTTTTCTACAGTTCTGTTAGTAGGTATAATCTGTGTTGGTATTTGCACTGGTAATGTTGATAATACTGTAGTTGCCTGTGACAGAATTCCAACAGCATTGCCTTCATAGGGCAAAGGGGTAGCAGATGTAGTTGTAGTTCCTTCCCAGAAAGCGACATATTTCGTTTCTGCATTGACAAACTGCTCAAGGTTCTGCCTGTTTCCTTTGTGCCACGCCATCAGCCACGTGGTAGTGCTCTGACGGACACCAACAGATCCCAGACTCCGAGCAGTCTCTGGGCTGACAGTAGGGCTAATGCAGTTTGAAAACTGAGTCCACTTAATGTAATGCAAGTGTCTACCACGCATACTCTGGGGATTCTGACAGTGAATTCTTACAGAAATGGGAGACAATGTCAGCCAATTAAGTAACCCAAGCATTTTGCAGCTGCAGTTCCAAGGATTAGAACTTACGTGTAGATGAGTTAGAGATACTAAAGGCTTAAGCACTTCAGGTTGTAACTCTGTAATATTATTAAATGCTAAACTTAGTATTTTAAGTGACTGTCCCATTTTTTCAAAGGTACCATCACCAATACTGGCTATTTTATTTTTGTCTAGCTGTAGATACATTAAATTGTTTAATAAACTAAAAGTGCTGGAATTTATATTTTCTAAATCATTATAACTTAAGATCAACTGGCTAAGGTTGTTCAATCCAAAAAATCCATTTACAGCAATACATTTTAGCCTGACATTTTTCAAAGACAGATATTTAAGCTTGTTAAGTCCTTTAAATGCAAAAGACTGTATTGATCCAATAGGATTGTGAGACAAAGAAAGTCTTTCAAGATTTTTGAGCTTTCCAATAGCATTCGATGGCACAAGTTTTAAGCTGTTACCTTCAAGAAACAAATATGCAAGGTTTTCAAGATGACGAAATGCTGAATCTGATATCCGTGAAATCTTATTATTGGCTAGGTTTAGGGTTTGTAGATTTATCATTCCCGAGAAAGTCCCACTTCCAAGGACACTGAGACGATTTCTTTTTAGTGATAAATATCTAACAGAAAGAAGATCACTAAATAATCCTCTGGGAAGAAAAGCTATTTGATTATTCTGAAGGTATAAACAGTGAAGACTGTAAAGGCCTTCAAAGATTCCTGGATCCAGGCGTTTAATATCATTGTTATTTAGATGCAAGTAGCACAGTTTGGGGAGTTCCACAAAAGCTTTTGGGTGTATGTACAAAATACTGGAGTTATCCATGTGGAGTGCAGCAAGCTTCTGAAGCCCTCTTAGTTCATTTGGAGTGACACATGATATATTATTTCCACTGAGGTACACAAGAATTGTCGTTTTTGGTAAATTCCAAGGGATGCTTGAAAGCCCTGCATTACGACAGCTAACTTGTCTCCCTGTGCAGAGTTGACAAGCAGATGGACAGCCAAAAGCCTCCTTCTGAAGCAGCAACAAAAAAACCCAATTAAGTATATAGAGGAATGGTCCTGAGCAGGGTGGAGAACTTTGCAGAACATACATATCCCTGTCATTGACCTTCTTACTCATCTCTGACTTCGCTAGTAGAGATAAAAAAAGTATATGAATATTATTAAATCAAATATATTAACTGTATAAATATTAATTATTATTAAGTAATTAAATCTGTGTGTACAGTCTTTAATATATTAGCATTGCTCTCAAGACTGGTATTTTACACATTCTCCTTTCATGACAAACAAGCAGTTTAAGACTTAACCTTACTAAGTCTGAGCTAAACTGAAAAAAAAAAATTCAAAGTAAATGAACAATTAAATAAATGTACTGCCAACCTAGCCAGAAAATATTTAACTGATTGCAGCATAAAAGCATCGAGGCTGCAGTAACAGCTTCTATTAAATTAAAAATACTACTTATTAACTACTTTTTATAATTAGACATAACTAAGCAATGTTTCAAAAGCATTCAAATAGAAATGCTGACTGTAAACAAGTTTCCTTTCACTGGCAGCTCATTTATAATTTGAACTTTACCTTTATAAAGCTCAGTTACAGTGAAAACAAATATAAACAATTTCTTACCCCAAATCTGAAGTTCATTATTTCCATTATTTTGCCATTTGCAGTTTATTGCAGTTATAAGCTGATGGACTATACTCATCTGTGAAACCTTCATAAAGGCAGTATTGCTGCATACTAGATCCCTCACGTTTTGCCCCAGGATTTGCAGCAGTTTGCTCAGGAAACTAAGAAAGAAGTCAGGTTGTCATGGATACAGGAAACCATGGGACAGGAAGCCATTTTATCTGTGTTTCAGAAGCATTGTTGGAAAGGAAATCTCAGTGATTTTTTTTCTAGAAAACCAAAAACTATCTTAGTCTGTAATTGCTGCTTTTTATTTTATACTAATTTTTAATCTACTGATTTACCCAGGTAAGTTCAAAAGATTTTTATCTTAGGTAGGTGTAACTTTCAGAATAAAGCATAACTATTCATAACGGCATTATTTCATTACCTGTAACTTTATCTTTTAGCCAGAATCTGGGGTTTTTTTGTTTTGTTTTTTTTAATCAGCAGCAACACAACACTTACACTGTTCCACTGCTCGCTCTCTGTCTGCAGAGCCAAACTACATCCACCACACATATGCACACACATTTCAGTGGCCCAGCCAGCAGAGAGAAGACGACAGTCCGGATGAAACAGCCCCAGTGCCCCCCATACTCTGGCAAGGCATAGCCTGCCAGCAATCCCAGGGAAACCAGGAAATCTTAAGAGATGGGAACCACATGATGTGGTGCTAAAAACTGCTATGTATTTTGGACTTGACTCAAGCACTTTGTTAAGTCTCATTTGAGGTCACCTTTTTTAAAGTATTTTATTCACAGAGGACTATAGTTCTGAGAACCACGCCTTTGGTCCACAGCTTTTGTTTCCTGCAGTGTCCCTTGTGCAGATAAACACTTAGTGCAAATGTGGGCCATAAATATCCCCCTTGCCTAAGGACTGGAGATTACATCCTCAGTTTATCCATCACAAAGTCAAAACACTTGTGAAGTCCAGTCACATCATCAAAGCAGGAAAGGGGAGATTAAGCCTACAAATAGCAACATAACTGTAAATCCACAATTTTACTGCAACAAGACCATCTGTTCAACAAAACAAAGAGGACAAAGCCCATTAGTAGTCATAGCCTAGGAAGAGGCGCAACAGCAAGAGAACAGTCACTTCAGCTACAATGATCTCACACAGGAAGAATGAGTCCACCTAAGCGATGAAATAAAACCCAAATGCCTTTGTCTATATAATCCAACCTGAAATGCATGACACACATGAGAAAAGGAAACAGAACAGACAAGAATGTGCTTTTGAAGAAGCTTTCTTCCAAACATCTAATCTAAGATATCAGTAGGACCAGTAAAAATTGGTCTATGGGCCATTTTAGACAAAGCCTGTACCAGTTACAACAAAGAATTAGATCTGCATTTGGCTCTTTTTTCCTGAGACCAATAAATAAGTAAGGAAATGTTCTTTAGATTGAAGTATTTTTTTCACACTTTAATTTTTTCACTGTATTTAACATAATTGCTGACTTAAAGAAAAGTAAAATAAAATGGCATGTCATCTGCTTAAAGAGAAAACACTGTACAGTTTTGACTGTTCACAGGAAAATTGGTGAATTCTCCTGGATATGGAGGATAGAATAGCAGGAACAATTGAAAAAGATTAACCAAATCAAATAGAGCCACATGAGGGGAAAGTCACAGATTGACCAAAAATGAAAAGTGACTTCAAACAGGAAATTATCTTCTACCTAAAACAGGTAGGGAGGCTTCACCACCTATAGCTTATTTATGCTGATACTTATATATTGGAAAAAACAAAATATTTCTTCCAAGATGTGCTGTGTGAAACAACCCCTTAAGGCTTGAGAAAGTAAGCCAAATCAAAAAAAAAAAAAAAAGTTTTGCAAGGCAAATCTTAATAGATCTCAGTTTTTGTAAAATGTCAGAACTAATATATGTTGAAAGACTAAGGGAACTGATGAAGCTCTGTAGGATTCAGATAGCATGAAAAGTTAGAGAAACGAGTAGAGTAGTGACCAGATAAATTACATCATTTTGGGCAAAACCATAAAAAAGACTGGGATACACAGGTAACTTGTATCAGCGTTTCTCTAATTGTACTTAAACAGTAAAATTCATTACTAGTTGAAAACTACAGAATTATTTTTTTCCTTGAAGAAAAGAAAACAAGTTTCCATTCCATAATTCTTAATTGACTTTAGACTCTAGTAAAATAATATGACAGAAAGCTTTTGTGAAACTAAGTGCTAATTTGAGAAATTGTTGGAATGATTTTTTTTTCTTCATTCAGAAAATAAAGTCTTCTATGGAGCAACCAGTAGGTAAATTAATAATATATTGGCCATCAATGAAATCCACAGATGTGAGATGCTGACTATAATCATTATATTTATCACTTTAGCCTTTACTATTCACTGCAATATTTTGTAAATTCTGTTCAAACTATCAAAGCAATAAGAGATGTATTCAAAATGAATTTAATTCAAACCAAAAGGCTTAAGGAACTCAAAGCACTTCCCCAAATTTCAAACAGAATATATAATTCACCTTCTAGAAATTGATTAAAAACTAAATCCAATTGCAAAGCAACACTGTGCCTGCTAGTTTAGGCAACAGGATGGGCATATACTTGGCATTAGCAGCTGACAGCTTCCAAATATTTAACAAAAAGAGAAAACTTCTAAGAACTACTACAGACAATACCCACACACAAAATACAAAAGCTATGCTTTAAAAATACAAACATTCTTTACACTTAGGCACTTTTTGTAATATCAAAACCTGATGTTCCGTATTAAACTTTTAATTTCTCATTAAATTATATGAATATGAAACATTATTTTTCAAGACACTACTTAAGTGCAGAAGTTTCTGTAGTGACATGGGTTATGGTATTAATCACTTTTGGTATCTTACCACAATAGTCTGGGTCTGCTAAAAAAAGTCACCAAAAATCTTGGCTACTCTATGGAAGTCTCAAATTTCAGAGTGTATGGCAGAAAGATAAACAGATGTACCAAAATGTCTCAAAAACAAGCTGAGCCACAAAACCAGCTGCAAATCTATTTTTTTTTCAACTTTGCTACAATCCTGTGATTTTTATACATTTTTAATAACATGGTATATTCCGTCACTACTTATTTAATAACCAATTTGCAAATATGTAAAGCTCACATTACTAAGAGTTTGAAAAAAGCTAATCAGTATGTTATCAACTACTGCTGTCTTATATAATGAAAACGGTCAATTTTAAGGTAAATCATATTTAGAAGAGTTTAAGGAAAGGTTTCCGAAATTCTTTATATAGGCCACAAACAAAACAAGATATCAGCAACAACCAAACCCTTATGACTGCAGTTTGTTCTCTACAGCAGTTCAGCTGCACTTAGTGGCATAGTTCCTTGCCGTCACTTAGTATATTTTTCCTTGAAATCAAAGCTTACAGGTCTTAGGGGAAAAAATAGTATGTCCTGACCAGTCCATACTAACAATCAGGTGTAGGAGGAAAATTAATGGAGATTGTGAACAAGAAAAGTTTAATGAGTACATCCTTTTGCCAATGCTGTAATGGGACATGCAATTAAGGAAGTGGTAGTACTCCATGTAACCTTTTGAATTATGCAGATTCCAACAGTCATGCTAAGACCAAAGCTACATTTTTCACTCTTATCAATGGACTGCACTGTTACCTGTCAGGCAAGCTAAACAAATCCAAGGCCAAACACTGATGACAACTGCAAAATCATAATTTGAAGAGCTCCTTTAAATGCTAATAGTCCATTAAAGGCGTGAGTGAGCACATCTTTGACTAGAGGGATTAAAAAAATGGAGGGGAAAATAGGAAAATGGCTCCAGAGTATCATTTCTATAAAGAAAGGAGGATGTACAAATAGTTATGTAAGCAATTCTGACTTTATAAATATGGACATAACTACCCTGAGGAGAAAATGACATTTTATTAGGCACTTTCTTGTCATTTCCTAACATTACATACAGACAACTTCTTGAGAGGAAAATTAAAATTTCTAAGTAACTTTAACAAATGACAGAAGCAAAACTTCTATAATAGCCTAATGAAGATTTATAATTGCATACTGTAAGTAGTTATACTCACAAAATGCCAATTATCTAACTGGCAGAACTCATACTGGCTGACATTTCAGACTTGATACATAGTGAGAAAAAGCAGACATTCACACAACAGTTAGAAACAAGCAGAGAAACCTGGAAAACCTCTTAACCCTTTCCTCACAATAGATAAGCATATCTGACTCAAAGGAACAAAATTAAAACTGCCACTACTCATGTACCACAAATCAAAATGAAGCCAAGAAATTAAAATACTTCATATTTCAAGTTCAGCAAAGTCTCCTCAACTGCCTACCACTATAGATTCTACTCTACAGTGGTAAGTCCACCAAAAATGAGACTGTCCTCAAGGACCAAAATTAGTAGACTGTTTTGGAAAGCACTGAGTTGGAGTAAAAGCAAACTTGGCAGTCTCCCATTCAAGAATGACAGGTATAGCACAAATAACACTCACTTGCAAAAGGAGTGGTTAGCTTTCAACATGGTGTCAAATTCTACCTGTGGTTACAGTTAGGAACCACGGCAAACTCTGCTAATCACTGACATTATAATTTTCCCATATTCTCTTTCCATTTCCAGATTAGAGAATAAATATTCCTATCACTCTTAAGCATCTTTCAGTATGGTTCATGTTCTACTGAAATACACAGAGAACAACTATAGGGATAAAAAAAGAAAACTATTTTGCTAAATAAATTCTTAAAAGCTTTCAATAGCACAAAAGAATGACATTCCAAAACACTGTAATGCTGACATTATACAAAGTGACAGAAGTGCAGTAAGCAACTTCCATATGTATATATCAGTTCGAGAAAGGGACATAGTACAATTTTAGCCAGTTTGGTCTCAGGAAATTCAAAGGATGCTGAAGATGTGTATGTTAAAATGCAGAAACATAGATAGTGGTGGGGGCCCACACCTTTTCCACAATGGCCTAAATAAGACGTAGACTACTGCTCCTGATTATGTTCACTGGGTATTACTTTAGGGACCACAGGAACATCTAATAAAACTCAACTACATCTTGAAGAGTGCTCTTGAAGCTCTAGGTTCACAAACAAGCCATTCAGACTGTAGACAAGCTGGAATATGACTGAACTAGACTAGGAAATCATGACATTGATTATTTTACTCACCCTGGTTGCTGCCATCCCTCACATCTCACACGGTAGCTCAGATACCATTTTCCTCCACAAAACTTCAAGCTGTTGCGTGTTTTACAAAATCACTCCCTGTTAGAGCTACCGGATGTCTATGCATACTTCCCTCAGGTACTGAACTTGGAGAAACTGTAACTCCACAAGTGCATCCTGATTCCTTGCTGCCTAAATCTTGTTACCGGACCCTACTGTTACATACAGTAGGTTAAAGACAAACAGGCAGCAAGAGTACAAAGCATGGAAGATAATGCTGATGCATTTATCTGTCAGACACAAAAATTAATAGTATTGATTGACTAGACTTGGACAGCAAATGCAGATAATTATACAATGTTTAATTTATGCAAAATCCCCAAGTAATACCAGGAAATTACTGCTATGTGAAAAGGTGCTGCAAGAACTAATCAGGAAAGCAGCATTGTTCTTTCTTTAATATGAATTTCTAAACAGTAACATGATGTGCAGCTGTAGGAAGATAAACAGGATGCTAGATGGAAGGACTAAAATGCACACAGACTAAAATGCAACCCTGTTGATAACAAAAACATGTAATTGCCTGTATATCACCTAGACAAGAAAGTTACAGTATGGCTAATAAACTGTCACTTTATTAGTGACATCAACTTGCTTAGTCCAACTAAATGGCCCGAGAACCACTGTGAACAACTGCTGTGCAGCAAATCCCATCTTATCTGCTCTAAAATCCTCCACTCGTGATACTGTCAAAGGTGCTGTGTTTGAAATAGAAAATTATTTGTCATACTGGTTTGAAGTTAATAAAGATGGAAGTTTTATCTTCCCCTAAAATGCAAAAAGTTCAAAGTCCACATATGTGTAACTATAAACATGATCACTAATTAGAGAAGTAAGTAAAAGCAATTAAGTAATCCTACAGAGTTTAGAGGGAGAATAAAAAAGGTCACTGTTTAATACTTTATGTAACATTTTATCCATAAAACAATTCAGAGGGAAGGATGAGAATGCATGATATCTTCATTTTTCCCCCAGTACCTTTATCTACTGCCTCCCATTCCTCTCTAAAATAAACTGATGCTTCAGCTATAAGTTAGAGGAAGCAACTGGCAAAAGGAAAAAAAATCCTCAAACAGTCCTAGACACAGTGCAGATGCCTGTTTCCCTTACAGCAGAATCTTGAAAATCTGAGGTTACTACTGGTACCAAACCCTGACCATCAAACAGCAGCAAGATGAGGCAAGAATCTCACCCTCACCTTTGCCTTTCAAGACAGTCCATTAGCCATCCTCAGAAGACAAAATTCTGTTCTACCTCTGCAGCAGAGCTGAGAAATCTTTAAATTACTTTGGCTATCCAAAGCAGTATCTAATCAGGTACCTGGTTACTAACGCATTCCAATAGAAAAAACTGGGTTAGGTTGGGTTTTTTTAACATTATTTATATTAAACAAAATATTTTGTTCAAATACTGTGTTATATTTAAAACATTTTTGCTTCAACTCTGCAAATGGACTTACACAAGAAGCTTGCTTTACAAAATTTATTTTTAACAGAAGTTTCAGGTGTAGAATGCAGCAAGCATGTGTAATATAATCTCTGTGATATGGCAAAACCGGAGTGACTCACATTGTTCAAGAAAAAAATGACAGAATCAGTTTCATACATTGTCTGAAGGTATGTTTAGCAGTCTATCAACTGCATAAGTGAAATTTTCATAGCTTTGACATAAACATATTCACTAAAGTGAGGCTTTTTATTTGAGAAGCAGCTTTCTTAAACGATTAGAGTATCTGAAAAATTAAGCTGTCATATGCAGAAGGTTTTATTATGTTAAAGACTGCCAGAAATAATTAGCTTTTACAGCAGGAAATCTGGAGCAGCTGCAGGTAGTTCAAATACCAAGGTTATCTAAAGAAATTCCTTTTTTCCTTCCTCCCTCTAAAAGGAACTTCACAGGAAGACAGACGTAGTTCAGCACCTTAAATTTTAGCTAAAACCTCTTTAAAGACATTTCCAATATAAGCAACATAACACTGTTACATTTACTGGGAAAAAAAAACCCTTTCTTATAAAGCAGCTGCTTGATTCACCTACAGCTAGATGGTTATCCTGGTGATCTAGGACAAAAAAAGGAAGTTTCTGTGCATATTAAAAGCTATGAAGCCTCTAAGTTTTACATGTAAGAGTTACCTGACTTTTTCTAGGTAGAGACTACATATTGCACAGCTTTACAGATACTAACATAGCTTTGGGATTTGTGAGCAGCGTCTAAATTCTCAACAGACAATACTTGAGGAAATCCAGCAGACTAAATGTAAACTCATGCAGTCTTGTCTTCCTGAATGTCAAACAGATAAGAATAATCTAAAGGTAACTATGGACTGAACTCTCACCTAAACATGTTAAACACAAATTCTAGTAGTGACAAGTTAGGAATCAATGTAACACTATTCAGCATTTCCAATTAAAACTTTCATTTTGTGTGTATATTCAGTAATGACGACAACTACCGAAATGATAATAGTAAAAGCTTCGTGCTAGAGAAATCTACAGTGCAAAAACTGTTTCACAGTCTTTCACAACAAGGAATGGAAGCAGAACTTCCATTTAACATTAAAAAGGGGAAAAGCAGGATGAAAGTTCAGATCACCTACAACAGGAAAGAAAACTGACTATTGTTCTCTGTAAGGGACACCCAAATACTAACATGCCAACTAAAGCAACTACTTAATCACAGATGAGAGAAGCAGAGAGTTTAATGTTAATATGAAAACAGACAAAATCTGCAGCACTGGTTTCTCCCTTTTACTACAGGACACTTTCTATGAAATAGAAAAAAGGTTACTATAATGCTATGAAGTCAAATAAAAGGGTAACATAATGTAGCATGGAAATTCCATCCTTTAAAGTTTCTCTTGGGAAAAGACGAGTAAATAAAACTACTTATACTGGAATATATAGCCGCAGAATTTTGAAATAGTTTAAAAATTATCTCAAGGGCCTTTGAAGCATTATTTAACACATTGTATATTTGCTTACCCATTCAATGATGGCAGAAGAGAAAGCAATGCCAAAGCAGAAAGTTTTCTTCTTTCTGGCTGAGTGATGTTATCCATCCGATCAACCCACATTTCAATCATGTTACCAAGAACTTGGTCCAACTGCAATAGGGAACAGAACGTTCCTTTTTATTTATGGAGTGCGTCAGCCTATTTAGAAAATATTTTCTTTTAATTTTTCTACCAACTGAACACATTGTTCAGTCTCGGAACAAAGTTATGTATACATAATACACCACACAGCTATGTACAGCTGACAGAAATAGCAAGCAACAGTTATTTTTTAAATTTTCTATGACAGTGCTTCCAGGTCCTAAATCCTCCATACATTAATTGTACCCTACAAGTTAGAAATACATTTAATTCATGGACAGGGCACTGATTCAGAGTAGTGAATTACTCAAACAGTTTTCCACTAACAGTCTAATACATATAAAGCATGTGAACTTACTCTATTTTACCTGCACTGGTGATAAATTTAAAAAAACCCTTGCTTTTACCTTTTGAAAACTGTGTTATACTCAAGGATAAGAAAACCACTAAAATTCCACTTAAAGACTTTTGCTACAAGTAGAACACTCATAGCAAAAGAACCTCAGTAACCTCATCAGTGAAACTGTAGCACATTGAACCTCACATCCTAAAAACTCAGAGGAGAATGGTTAGACCATTATCCATGGTGCAAGACCCATCAAGACAGCACAAGGAGAAACTCACCCTCCAAGGGCATGCAAACTAATGGGGTTTACATGAATAAGTCTGGAATGCTTTAAGGTAATCGTGGGAATATGTAAAAATTGTTACAGGATGTTCAGGGGAAGGAGCAAAGGGGCAAGGGCCCCTTTTCGAGGTGCAGTGTGGAGGAACAACCATGGAAAGCAGAGGGAAAAGTTCCTTCCGATCAAAAAAAAGAAAGCAGGACTTCCCAATGCAATACAGCCCAAATACCAAGACACAAAAACCCCAAAAGGACAATAAACTTTACCTCCTGACCCAATTCACATGCCATCTGGCTCAGAAGTAACGAAAAAAACCTTGCATTTTGTAGTAGAACTCTACCCATGATCCCCAGATAAGTAGACATCACCACTGGGTATCTCTGAAACAAAAGTAAACCAAAACAAACAGTGCTTAGTTTATCTAAAAGAAAAATATTTGATACAAAGCAGCATTACATGGTATATACTTGCATGCATCCCCTATACCTGTTACTACATTTTAAATTATAAACTGTAATTTAAGAGCCTCTCAGAAGATTAGGTGAACAAGCTTTACCAGGATTTCTCAATTCCTAACAGCCAAGACAGCTTGCAAAGAGATTTTACTTTAAATTTAAAAACCTGTATCTTAAGGAACAAACAGTACATTATACTGCTAAAAAATTACTTTTGAAATTGATTATGGTTAAAAATTACTGCTTACAATTACAGTATAATTAGAAAATGTTTAATATTTCTAAAGTTGTTGTAACTTATTTCAGAGAGAAGCTATGATACGTTTGCCAATAATTTGCAGGTGTTTCAAAACTAGCTGGGTAAATTAATTAAGTTCATTAATTACCTTTTGTTATTACTTTTAAAAGCAGCTACAGAGTTTTGTAGTAAATTCAGCCTATAACAATATAATTGCATTGTTACATAATTGTAACAATATAATAGCTACGCCAGATTAATATACTTTCAATGGGGTAGAATGAATTCATTGCTTTTAAATCAGAAGACATTTTAATAATCCACTCTCTATCTTTGTGCTCTGTACAGCAAAAAGTACATTGCTATGTAGTATTAATTGGCTTAAATCTGGAAATCTTATTTAACTCAATAATAATGGGAGCCAAATATTGATACTTGAAAGTCTTCAATTCTGGAAAAAAGCAAAGGTTTTGATTAAAAAAGTCAAAAAGTATGAAGAATTCCACCCACTGATTCTGCTGGTTTAAATGCTTTCATTTTTCTCCTGCTAGTACTGCAAAATTCAACAACAGTTAAAATATACTGGATTTTTCTCCTTTTCATCCACCATGGCAGTTTGTTGAAGAAAAGAGAGAAAAGGGAGAAGACACCTAAGCCAACAAAATCTTAAAAAAATCTTCTGTCTCACACAAAGTATTCTCACATTCTTCACCTCTTCATATTAGATATGTCAATTGAAAAAGAAGGTCAATTCAATCCTCTCTTTGTCCAGTTTGTTTTTCTCTGGTACAGGCACATTTAAAAAGGAGTAGTGTGTGTCTTTAAAATACCCCAAACAAAAAAACTCCAACACCTACAAAGGATTTAAGTAGGCATAGAGTTACAGCAGCTTGTAAGTGTTAATAGTGAAGGAACAGTAGAACAGCAGAATAAAATTTGTTCTATTTTATTAAAACAAACACTACATGACAAAACAAATGATGGATATGTTGGTTTACATCCTGTGCTACTATGTTACTTTTACAGGCTTTTAAAATAGCTGTCAAAAATCTATCAACTGCTGTTTAAACAAGAGAAAACACAATATCAATATGAAAAAACTGGCCCAGATAATGGCCTTCCATGTTTGAAAAGAAAACGTAAATAGTAGTTAAAGTAATTCTTACCTCCCCATCTATAATCCCCCTGAATACTGATGGCAGAAGGGGTTGAAACATTTGGGGACCCAATACAGGGTTTACTTTTAGGACATTTTCTACAACCTTAAGAACAAAAACAAATTAGACAATTAGTAAAGTACATTTATAAATCTTGACTGAAGTTTTAGAACCACGTATACTAGCGTACATATATAAAGTGCTTGCAGGATGTTTGTCATTAAGTACCAGCAAACCCCAGGACTGCTGAAAGTATATTCTAGTAAAGTACTCTGCAAACCTGATTTGCATACATGGACCTGATGAAAAATGACATGCCAATGAAATCCACCCTTCCAAGCATTTAATGAGCCTCCCCATGGCTCTGGCAAAGCTGATGAGGCAGTCTGGAAGGAAGGACCTTGTCAAGGTTCCAGGAAAAGCAGCAGATTGAGGTGGATTGGCAGGGCAAAGTCCCAGGAGTCCAAGGCTTATTTCCATACATCTGTCTTCTTACTTTTTTGAAGAACCATTGATGAGGACCTACCATCTCTTTGCAGGTATGCTCTCAGAGGTGCTATTCTAGGTACCCTGGGTATTCTGACTTCCACCCCCCACTGAGCTGTTCCTTAAAGTTATTTTTAATCTTGTGTTCTTCAGTTTTTCTTTTGCCCAGATGTTTGGGCAGTAAGATGAAGACAGAAAGAAGCTGTGAGAATAAGGGGCTGATAGCTGCTCACCCCCACTTGTAATAAAGACAGAGACCACACACATACATACACACACTGATGTGTATAAAGGATATAAAGGTACAATAAAGGTACCTCCCTCACACATTCTTAGTCTCCACTTACTTCCATCTCAGAGGAACTTAAACAAGGAACAACTCTTCCGTGCTCTTGTCCAATCCCCCTTAAATATTTTTTTTGCTTTTTGAACTTTGTTCCTACTAGCTTCATTTAACACCCTCTATTTCTTGCCTTAAGAGAGATACTAAGCGTCTGATCTTTTCAATGCCTCTCAATTTTGTACACCTTTAATATACAGAAGTATAAAAGAGGTATATTATATACAAAGGGAAACATAACTTTTCCCTCACTCATCTTTCTGGGTACTGGAAGTTTTGGCTAACTCATTTGTTCCTTGCACAGTCTTTTCAAACTTTATATTGCCCATCTCAGATAATTAGAAAACCAAGTCACATCAAGCCTCAGTAATTTTGCAGTAAACTGTCTTATTCGTCCAAATTAGTATTTTTTAACCTTATTAATTTATATTTCTAATGTCTATTTTCAATCCAGCCAAAGCTGCTTGTAGGAAACTGTTTCAGATAACAGCCCCGGGTGTTTCTGTTCTCAATATTTATCTTGGAGATTTTTTTATTTAACAAGTCAGCATAGTGAAGCCTGACAAAATATTTTGCTTTTTGTAAAAATATTTGCAAGAACTGTAGCTCAGTTATCCCTCTGGAATCAACAGGGCATAGTAGGAACATGTTCAAAGTGTACTACACAAACCTTGCAGATAATGCAAGGCCACTCTGGGACTCAAGTGAATAAATGATTCCATATTAGCAGCATCATTCCATTTTAGAGATCTGATTAAAACCTCCTGCATAAAACACTTTGTCCAACTATAGACTCTAAATATTACTAATAGACTGAACTTGACATTTTAAATTTCAGAACTAGAGTCCTTTAAGCTCCTGACAGGAGGAAATACAAACAGGGAATTCTATCAATTTCTGTTATTTTCTGTCCTATGATCCTGCAAGTAGTTGTATGACCTGTCGAAGAGGCAGATGGGATCCAATTTATTCCCTCCATTGCATTTACAATTAACTAAATTTTAGTCCAAGTTTTTATAAGCAACGCAGAGACCCCTGTTACGCACCCACTGGAAACATAAGTAGTAATACACTACTGCTACTAATCAACTATCTTTCACTGTATATTCCAAATTTACTTCCTGAAATTTGTCAAAAGACACATTCAAAGTATCATTCTTAATATTTGTAAAGTTCATGAATTTCACATCTCTTTCATAATACCATCTGAAGTTTGTGTGAATATAAGGGTTTTTTAGTACTTTGAAAAACCTCTAACAACTCCATCCTGGCCATTACTATAGCTCCTTATGCCAAAGGCAAAGACTGAACACTATGTCATGGTACATATGCAAGTGTTCTATACAAAGGAATGTTACCGAGATTACATACATATAGCATTCAATATAGACTGGGAAAGCTTGCTCTAAGAGCTATTAGGTCTTTATACACATGCACAGACTTTAAATAAGTAATTTAAACCCCCAATGACTCCATTGTCAAAGTTTGCTAAATATGTTGTTTCCTTCTACATATTCTACATTCATCCTATCTGAAAACATTACATGTACAAAGTTGAGTATCTGGGTATTATTTTTATTATACTCCACCTTTAAAACTTGAACTTGACCTTCAGTAGTTAGGTCCTTCAAAAGTTCACAAAATGACCGGCATAAGTCAGTAGCATACATCTGAAATAAAATGAAGAAGAAGGTATTTGCAAACATGTTTTATGAAGACCCAGCTTCTCTTCAAAGATCCTATCTGCTAAAATGCTCACCGTTCCTGAACTAACTAAAATCTAATCTAAGTATTTTGTTGGTTTTTTAACACTGCAGGATTTTTAAAATTGCAAAGGATTTTCTAATGAAGAAAGTATGAGAACAAGGCATAATATTTCTAGTTCAACTCTTTTTAGAATTTATGATCATAATTTTAATCTAGTAGAATTACAGTAACTATTACTACCCCACTTTTCAGATACCAAAGTACTGAATCAATCCATAAAGCATTAATTCTAAATAATCATCTTCCTCAAATTTGATTTGATTGGGTGTCCACCATGCATCACACAGACCTAACAACAGAACAATAATGTGTTTGTATACACGAGTAAGAGTATAAATATGTGTATATTTTCCAAGATGAGAGAAGAAACAGTTTGTCAGTAGGGAACTGAGGAGATAATATAAATTTTTATATAATGATAACATACCTGTAAAAATTCAGATGATGATAAGAAAATATAAGCATTGATGATCTTAAAGCAATTTTTGAGGTTTTCTGAACTCAGCTCTGGAAAAATCACAAATCACAACCTGATCACCAAACTGAAGCACAACCAAAATGATTTGCTTCTAAAAGTCTCTTTCTTCTCACAGCTTACAGTGCCAGACCAACAAGTAGAAAAAAGTTATCTTAGATCTATTACCAATCAGGTTCTCTCTCCCTACCACAGACAATACAGAAGTGGGATGACAATAGCTCTCATGTACTCAAATGGAAGCACAAGAAATCCTGCGACCTCAAAAGCCACTGTTAATAAAAAAAATTATAAAGAAAAGGTCAAGTTTTGGACATGATAGTGGGCTAAGATATTAAAGAGAGAACAAATGAAACACATACTTAAAGAGACCTACAGTTACTGACAAATAATCTCTCTCATATTTGACTCAGTAAATGCTGAGCAGAAAAAATGAAATAAAGGTTGCAGTTCTGCTGTTCTGAGCCAGATGCCATGTCAAATGGTATTGAGATGAAACCCACTGACCTTTAGGGCACTCCTTGAGTGTAAAGCACACCCTTCCGTAAGCATACCCGTTTAAGAGATAGATATGCAGAGGAGAAGATACAGAGCAGCAGTTTGAAGAGAGAAAAAAGGCATGTCTTCAGGCCCTATCTTTATGACTGTTTTCAGAAAAAAAAAAATTCATGCCAGAACATCTATAAGCAGAACTCATGGCAAAACAAAAGGTTTTAAAGTGTCACATGGATGTTGATATCAGTGCAGAAAGTCCATAGCCATCACTATCTAAAAACAAGACAAAAAGACCAAAAAAGCCTCAAAGGCCTTGCTAAATTGTGTTAAAACCATCTGTAAAGTTCCAGGGAGTTTCAGCAGTTTCTCTTTTTTCCCCACCCATTAAATAGAACATTAACGTTCCTCTGTTTGTCATGGCCATGGGACAGCTTTGCATTTGTGACTACTTTCATATGTCAGTGCATGGATAGGTCATGTCTTGTTATCACTTATTTTGAATATCTACATATCTTGACTTGAAAAGCTTTTTATTTTTCATCTATCCATCCAATATCGTCATCAAAAGATTCCAATACATCTACGAATTAGCTTTAGTATCAAATTACTAGCATTTACATATTTGTAGTTTTTTTCTTACTGGATACAACCATATTTAAACTTTCAGACACTGATCCAAATATTCAAATTTTAAGTAAATGGTCACATAAGCATGAAGTGCTTCTAAGTTTTCCATAACTTTCCATTCTGTGATTCTGTGAAAATTGATACAAAGACAGAAAGTATGTATAGCAAAAATTATATTTCAGGTCAGAAGGCAAAAACAGGTAAGACAGATGGAATGGAAATGACAGAATTTCAGGCACTCATCTGTACATAAAGGTCAATGTTTAGTAAAAGCATTTTTCCAGAAAGGTACCATGTTCGACTGATTATATTTAAAAGCTAATCTTGCATCAATTCTCTTACCAGGTTCTCCTGAATTAAACATGTATTTTTCTTAACTAATGTGGTCCTTTGGGTTTTGTTAGGCATCAGAGGACTTAGTCCAAGTCCAGTAATTGGCTTTTTGCCATGACCTTTACAAACACAGCCCAGGCACATTAAACCCGATGCTTCTTGAAACAAGTATGTCTAGACTTTGACCATATTTTCAACCTGAAATTGTATCAGATTCAGTGGTCATTTTAAGCATCCTCAGTGCAGAAATACACCTATACTCAGAGAATTAATGTATTTCTCCATTCCACATTGCATACATTGCAAACATGGATTAAAAAGCCTCTGCAACCCCTCTTCAGGGCAATTATATTTCAACAGAATTTAAACAGTAGCAGTACTGCTGATATGAAAACCAAATATGACAATTATGCTGTGAATTATCCTAGTACATCAGTGATAGCACCATAATCTTTGAAGGTTAAGTGAAATCAAGCCTTCATGGAAATGCAACATTCTACTCCTGAAGGCAAATCTAACTGACTTGTATAACTCCTCTGACACCTAGTTCCAACAGCAGTAGTATGCCAAAATGGGTATGAAAAGCTCTTTTCAGAAGGAAAATTATATCTGGAAAGGAACAACTACATATTATTTTCACACTAGTTAAAAAAGTAAAATTAGAAACATTTCTGTATTTTTCCCCTTTCAGTTCAAAAATCTCACGTATGAACTACTTCTCTCCCTGACTTCCAGATTTTTCTAGTTCAACCATGTTGACATTTGACACCTAAATTACTTACACGCTGACGTAGCAGTTAAACACACCAGAAAAATTGTTACATTACCTTTATGTTAGGTATTTTATTCAGTAAAAAGTTTCAAAAACTAAAGGTCAGGAGGTTCATATTTCTTACACTGCAATTTCAAGAAAATCATTTTATGCAGCACCTTGCTAGTGCTTGACCCTGCCCCAGACATAAGCAAGGCAGTTATCGATTCAGAAATTCCCTTCACCTTACCTGTCAGAACTAAGACTGAACACTTACTTAATTAACTAGCACAGTTGACCGTCACTGATCAATACATTTTCTTTTGCAAGATGCTGCACTTTTAACTGTGCTATTGCACTTGGTATAAGTAAAGAACCTCGTTTTCAAGTGTAATGAATGAATAAAGTAGCTGCTTGTAGCGTACTGGATGGCAGTATCGTACTGTTTTTGTAACCACCATGTTTTAAAATTAGGTTAGTACTAATCCAAACCTCCAGCTCTATTTAAGCATCACGATACTATGGCTGTGTCCTGTCAAAACTGTCCAGTCAGATTCTCCTGAAGTAAACACATAGAATTTGCAGGCAAAGAGCATACCAGAATGGTTTCCAATTTCTGGCAAAATGTGCATCATTTTGGCTTACAGCAATCAAAATTTTTGACAAACTTGACACTCAGAAAACAAGTTCCTAAGAAAAATGCTCAGGAAGTAAATTAGCACCAGAAGTCTATAGGATGAAATCCATAGAAATCTTTCTATAATTACACATCAGCTGCTGTGGTTTTGCCACTTACCCCCACTCCTGATGAAAAAAGGAAATCATTACAAGCATAGAATATTCCCAAATACCTCCACCTTTTGTAAGAAGATTCCTACTTATCTCTATCCCGGAAAGTATCACCGCTACAGAACCTAAGAGGTAGCTCTGGAGTTAAATACTAAAACCACTACTAAATAGAGCAGTTTTATCATTAGAGATCTTGTATACAAAGAGAAATAACAGAAGATGTCATCTTACACCTACCTACAACGATCTATTGACTTTTAGTCAGAATAAAGTATAAGTGCTGAAAACACCTATCAAGTAAAAAGATAACTTCCGTAATTTTATGAACACATTGCTCTAAAAAAATTAACCCACCTGCTATATTAGCTACACAACCTACAAAAGCACAGCTAAAGATTAATAAAAAATCATATTAACATAACAAAATTAAACCAAAAAAGTTTTATACTCCCTTTAACTATGAAGCGAAAGCACCTGAAATATCAGTATTTCCTAAGCATGGAGTCCTAATTCTCCTTACTAAGTTTATAGTTTGTCAACAACTCAGGTAAAACTACTGTTTTTGGTTTCAGTGCTGCTTGACCAAAATGCTTATAGATACATTAAGGTAGTTTGAAAATATCTCACATTGTGATTAACTGAATTATGGAAAGCTTAGTAATTGCATTCTGGTTGTAGGCAGAGCAGCCAAGTGTTCCATATAATCAGTATCAACAAAACTCAGCACATCTGTTGTTAAATTTCAGGAACTTCTTAGAATAACCTCTGAAATTATAAACTGAAATTTGTCTGATCTCTTGGGTACAAGTACCTTTAATTTATTAAAAATAAAGAAACAGGGTAAATAGATAATGAGTATCAAAGAAGATGACTAAGTCAGATAATAAAAACCTGTTCCTCCATTTTTGATAATTACAATTTTGCAAGCTCTCCCTTAGTACTTGCAGCCACAGCAACATCACTTAATGCATGAACAACAAGCAGAAAAAAACATGAAATTTTATTAGTAAAAGACTTACCAAGGAGGGCAGACATGTTCTGAAATATTCTCAGGAGCTCTGGTGTAAGACATGGACTATTCTCCAGTGTCACTAACCTAAGAATAGATTAGGCAAAATATTTTAGATGATTTACGAATAACATTGAGCAATCATTTTGACAGATGTAAACACACTAACTTCCAGTAACCATCTATATGATCAACAATGTGTAACAATTACTGGAAGCATACTTCAAGCACAGCAATAGTTCTTAACACCACACCCATCGGTACAGGCATGGTTCTTGCCAAGGTAGGAAAACAAAGAAAAACATGTTACTGTCTTTTTATAATGACAACATAACGTCTGAAATGCAGCAGCAAGACTGTCTAAGTACTCAGCCTGGGAACTCAGAGAAGGTGGGTAGAGAGGAATATTTACAGTGCAAGGACAACGTGTAGTGCTCTACACATCAAAGGAGCAGCTGTGGTGGCCATTTAAAATTCCTGAGGTTTGAAAATGGTAGTAATAAATTAAACTTGCATTTAAAGCCACAGAAAAAAATTCCAGTTTGTTCCTAGACCTTAGGTGTGGGATTACTGTATTAAAATAACATGTGTGATTATGTAAAATATCTTAGCTGTTCTCCTTCTCTTTGTTCAAGAAGTCATTAGACTCCCAACTGCCTCTGCCAGCTCTATCCAAATTCCTCTGATGCTCTAGGACATCTTAAAATATCATTCTTCTGCACCAACATCAGAATAGTAACCTCAAGATCAGTATTATTAAGAAAATACAAAAGTATCATAGACTAAAAAGGTCTCTGTCCTAAATTTTGAGAAGCTCTTGCACTTCAACTTGCTGCCACCAGCATTATAAATCTCAGTTTTGCTGCACATAGAACAGATCATCCATAGCTTAAGTATTTATAATTCAAATGTTCATCTACAATTCAGACCAAAGGAATCCTTCACTATTTTAAGACAAACTATGTATTCTATTCTTAGGGAAAAATTAGGAGCTGATTTCAGTCCAGGTAAGAGTTTCCTGCTCCTATAGCATCAGCTGCACCAGAAACAAATAAATCAGGCTCACAGTAGACTGATCAAAACATCATTTCTTGTTTTATGTTCAGTCACCAAACAGCCTGAGATCTAAAAGGTACCTTCTAGACTTTATCCTTGTAAACTTGACATCTCTTCCTGCAACCATCTTTGAGAACCACTGGGTCACTGTTCTCCTGTAGTCAAGTACATCAAATTGATAGCTTAGCATGCACATTGCACTGAGTCTAGACTTTTTGTTTTCCTTGTCATTATCATTACAGAACTGTATCTTCACTATCGAATGCCTGAAAAATTAATTATGTACTTAGCTATTTAACTGTGGGTTTTTCATTAACTTCCTACCCTCATGTCACCTGAGGAAAAGCGTAATATAGATGAAGTCAAGGTAAGGTAACAAGAACACATAAATTTTAATACTCAAAGCTTTTTACAATTTTTTTTCTTCTGTGGATATAAAAATAATTATTTAAAATTACAAACTGATAGAAAACATTCCTACCACAGCTCTAAACCATCTTCCAGAAGATAGACATGCGGAGGCTGAGAAACATCTGTACTGAGCTGAATAACTGGAAGTAGGAAAGGATAGAGATTCTTGCTGTCTGCTCCCAGTCCCTATAAAAATAAATAAGAAATGTAAAATATGTCAAAAACCTCAAACCAAGCATTTAAAGAATAGCACTGGAAAAGATCTGCAATGCTGTTATATTCACATATTAACATGCATTTAAGAAAACAAAGGTTGAACTCGTATTCATTTCATACAACAAAATATACTACTAAGTTTTCTCTCAACATGTTTGGAGAAAATGATACGCTTTTTGAAAACAATCCTCTTATCAATAATTTGCAAGAAAAAACGAGAAACAATACACATTCCTAAAACATTCACTAGTCATTCTCTTTCTTGGAAGAGTCACAAGTCTAATAAATACTACATGACTAAATGCTGAATGTTTTACAGATCAAGAAAAGAACCGCTCTTTGCTCTTGCCACACATGAAATTGCTTGACATATTCTAAGAATCAAGAGAAGGGTTTGTTTTCTTAGCTACACAAAGATTCACAGATTGAAGACAGTAATTTATTTTTTAAATGATCCATGAGTCATACATAAAGATTTCTTCCCAAGAACGCAGAGTAAAGAATTTTTTAGCAATCACTTAAAAAGAAAACACAATTTTTAAAAATAAGCTAAATAGAATTACTGTCAAACTAATAATAAATTAGAACTAATCCTGAAAGGAACAGAATTCTTAAATTGGGAACTGTCAATTACTGAATAGCATTACAGCATATTGTAATATTACTCCCAAAGAAGAACTGAGACTAGTGGAATGCTGAATTTGCATAAGTCCTATATTTTGATAATGGTAATTTAAAATTATTTGATGTTTCTAACTCAAGGCTTCTTTCTGCATTTATTTGTTTACACAAATTTGCCTTAAAAGAGTCTTCCATAAATTTGTCTACTACAAAGAGAAATATCTTTTGTAGGCTCCACAGGGGCCAAAACCAAGAATTTCCACAATTTGTTTATGGTAAAAATATATTTCCTCTTGTTTAAACTTAATCCACTTTTAAAGGAACCCTTATTTCTCCTCCCATGTTTAGTCACTCCCTTTCCACTTTCTCTCCACTGTTAAGCTGTATGATACCGTAGTCTTAGTCATGCATTTCCCCAAGTTCAAAATTAACATACTGCCTGCATATTAATTCCGTTCCTGTATGGACACTGTCCTACACCCTCAGAGCATTTCTTTTGATCTTTGCTGGTCCTACTTTAACTTTCTTAAGATGCAGGAAGAAGGCAGGATGGCATACAGTCTGTATTAAAGAAGTAGTCATTAGCATGGATTCTGCAGGCAGTGTAACCATGTATTGTTTCATCACTAAGAAAGAACTGTAGGAGATACTGACATTGACATGACTGATTCCTTACCTGGACAAGATGGATTAGGGTGGTTAGAATGGCACATCGTAGCATATTGTGCTCCTCACTCTGCTTCCAAAGGAGGGGTAAATACTGGACCAAACATCCTACATGCGGTCGTATCTGAAGTTCAGAACAAAAATTGGTTTCCTAATGTGTAAACAAGTCTATTAATTTATCCCCACCATAGTTTCTGATAAAATATGAGCTGCTATTGTCACAGTAAAAATACCGAGTCTGCTTTAATTTACTCCTCTTTCCTCTTTCTAAAATACCATATTCTTCACTCTGTGACTGAAGTAACTTCTGACTGCAGAGTAGTTTGAAAATAACAAAGTACTTACAGTGATATTTGTGCATGGCAAGCAGGCTTAAGTAGTAAATGGAACACAAAAAATACTTACAATTTGATAACCAGTGATATTTTCATAGTAATATATTCTTCACTGAGACAGGATTCCTAAACAACAGCATTCTCTAAGACCAGAAAGAGTCCAATAAAACAAACCAAAAAAAAAAGCTGAATAACCTCTGAAGTCACCTGTCCTTTGGGCAGGGGTTAGACTTCATAACTTCCAGAAATCTATCCTAACATGCTTTTTTTTTCTATTATGCTCTTCAATACTAAAGGGTTAATCTAAATATTTAATTATAAATTAACCTAAGCAGATTCAAGGGTTCTTTCTCAGCTTCTTTTTAATGCTGCATCTCTAGCGGATCTGAAATGCAGGGAAATCTGGGAAATCTGCTGTCACATTGATTTCTTCTACAACGGACAATTACGAAAGCTTCATTTGGCTCTCAGACGGGATTACTTGTAGAAAGTGGAGATAAGCTCAAAACCATGCATTATTTCTACCCTTAATATAGTACTATTGTGAAAAAAAAACTACACCAAAACCTGAAACAAAATCAATCAACTACTGATTCTTTAATTTTGAGAAACCATATTTGATCTCTTTATATATAAGCTGAAGAATATACTTTAACATTAATGTAATGTGAATTTGAAACTTTTCACGAAGTTAAGAAGAGTGGTATATAGGCAACTGTGACCCATATCAGCACCAATGAGAAACCACAAATTTAATTGCACCGTGCCTAGGAGTGCGAAATATGTTGTTCCCCAAAATGTCTCCTTTAACATGTAAGATTAAATAGAATAGTAGTTCAGATCTATGACTAGACAATTAGAATAAATCACAACTAAAAAAAACAACATTGCAAGAAAGACTGTGAGATAAGCTGTTACAATCCTTTTGTACTCTAAAAGATGAGTCCATATAAAAAATACAAAGTAACTACAGAAAAGTAGTAACTGAGCAGAAAATTTTACCCAGAAGGTAAATAAAAACTGAAAAGAGAAAAGAGGTATGCAAATAATGCAGGCAGGTATGACAACAATAACCAGTTTATTAACTTTTTTTCCCATTTTCTTTCACACCAAGTCCTCCCCTGTGTTCTTATGACCAAGCTAACACTGAAGTATATAATAAAAAATACCTGCACATTGACTCTTTCAATCACGCAAGACAGAACATGAAGAACGTGCATTTTAGTGTCACACTGTGTTACTTCCTGTAGTAGCTGAAAGAGCAGTGTAAACATGGATTCCAGATACTAAAAGAAAAATAAAGAATTGCAGATTAGACCATCTAAAATACAATTAGTCACATGAATTGGTAATTTTCCAATGTAAGCTTACAACTCTAAGACCTCCATAAACTTTGAAAAACACTTTGAAAGTGTGCAAAATGTTTCTTTTTTATTTTGAAAAATGTACACTATGCAATCATAACCTTAAGCAAGGTAAAAAAATTCAGATATGCTCTTATAAACCAGTTCAAACATGATCAGTTTGACTATACACCATTTTCATGTTTTGGTAAATGTAAACATGACTTTACAGGTAAAACAGGCTGTCTCTCCAGAGAGCCTTTGTTAGTGTCAAAGCTTTTGGGCCAGTATATAAATTTAAATATTGAGCTGAAAAAGACATCTTAAAACAATTCCAGTATTTACAGTCTAAATGTACTCTGCATTTTTGCTTTGTTCTCAAGAAAGCTGAAGTCTACATGAAAATCATAATCAAATGAGAAACACCTGCTAAATTTGAGTGATTGAAGTAAATCTTTGCTGTACTTATAATTATTTACTTCATGGCAACAGCAATGACCACTGTAGAGAACACAAATATAGGAGAACAAGAAAGTCTGTGTTTTTAGGGCACTACTTTAACCAAACATTTGTAATTAGTATTTTCACAAAACAGTAGTTTGGAAAGTAGTGTGAAACAGGCACACAGGAAAGCCACACTGGTGTGGAGACATATTTGTTAGATACAGTATATTGTCTTAGCAAGAAAAAACTTACTATCTGTTAACACACAGTATATACAGTACTGAACACACTGCTATCAAGTTGTGATTACTGTAATGTTCTGAATTGTATGTCTTTGTATTGCACATTAGCAACCTTAACAGCAGCAGTATGAGTATAAATTTTGGTCTATGAAGACTGAAAAAATAATACATACATATACATACACACACTCCACACCCTAATTACTAAATAATATGGTTTAAAATGAAATTGGAAAATATTTTTTCCTGCATTTCTCTATGGATTTATCTATTCTTCAGAATATATAAATGCTCTTACTGGTAAGAACTGGTCAGTTCTGAACTCAAAGTCATCTACAGGTGAACAACCATTAAGGAAAAATAATAAAGATCGCAGATGGATACAAAATTCAAATAAGCAAATATTTAATGGATACACAAAAGTTATAATGTGAAGAATTTGGTAATAAGTTTAAAATTTCTTATTTTCCAGTAACTCTGATTTAAGAATTAATCAAACACCTTTGCAAATAAAAGGATATTTAACTTCAGTGTTGTAGCTGTCTCAATACGGACCTGAAAGACAAAAGTCAAAAGCATAATGCATAAGTCCATTAAACATTTTGATTATCAACATAATACCTGACAACATCAAATCAGTTGATGTTTTGGCAGTTAAATAATTCTCTGTGTTCTGTCATCCTCTAAGAAATGCAGTTAGCTGGAAAACTAATTTTCATTTGCTTTTATCTTAGTATATTTCACATTTTATTAAGGCATAGCTAAAGTGGTAGAAATTGGCGAAACTACACAGGCAAAACGTTCATGAAGGACAAGAAAGATATCTTCTTGTTTAATTCTACCTGGCCTGTGATAAAAACTCTAGCAACAGAGGAAGAGTTTAACTTGGAATCATCTCATGGCTTGCTGTAAACCAAGAAACACAAAATCAAATAAACTCAACAAGGTAGATTGTTCTTCCTGGTAGATGTTCAGAGGCTTAAAATGCTTTAAGTAAAAACAGTTGACACAGAAACACATTCTGCTATGCTAAAGCTGTCCAGAATCACACAAATAACTGTTATGACTGCCAATTACTAACCAATAGGTACCTACCAAACTAGCTAAGATTATTTGGGTGGGTTTTTTTGTGTGCTGCTAGCCCTGTTTGTTTAAAAATAATTAAAAAAAAAACCAATAGCAAAACAAGTTTCTCAAATTAATCTCACCTGCTGGTAAATTGAAATTGTAGCTTAAACCAACAGATTTGTACTCAAGCAGGATAGCAAACAATGCCATTTATCATACCCTGCTAGCAGATAACTTCAACGCTTAAATATCCATAGAATCACAGAATCATTATGTATGAAAAAGATCATCTAGTTCAATCATCAAACCTGCACCACTATCACTAAACCATGTCCCTTACTGCCATATCCACACATTACTTGAACACTTCCAGGCATGGTGACTTCACCTGTTCCAGTGCCTAACAACCCTTTCTGTGCAGAAATTCTTCTTGATGTCCAACCTGAACCTCCCCTGCTGCAGCTTGAGGCCATTTTCTTTTGTCCTGACACTACTACCTGTCTCAGAGAAGAGGTCAAGATCCACCTGGCTACAACCTCCTTAGTTGTAAAGAACTACCTGATAAGGTCTCCCCTGAACCTCGTTTTCTGCAGGATTAACAATCCCAGCTCCCTCAGCCACTCCCTCAGCCACTGCACAGACTTACTCTCTAGACTCTTCACCAGCTTCATTACCCTTCTCTGGACTTGCTTCATCACCTCAATGTCTTTTAGTAAGCGGTCCAGAACTGAACACAGGACTTGAGGTGCGGTCTCACCAGTGCCTGGTACAAAGGGACAGTCGTTGCCCTGGTCCCGCTGCCCACAGAAATTTTGATCCAAGCCATTGGCCTTCTTGGCCAGCTGAGCACACTGTTGGCTCACGTTTAGCTGTTGCTGACCACCATTCCCAGGTCCTCTTCCACTGGGCAGCTTTCCAGCCACTCCTCCCCCAGCCCATAGTGCTGCCCCGGGTTACTGTGACCCAGCACTTGGCTTTGTTGAACCTCATACCATTGGCCTTGGCCCATTGATCCAGTCTGTCCAGATCGTCTGCAGAGCCTTCCTACCCTCCAGCAGACCAACACGCCTGCCCAACTTGGTGTCATCTGTAAACTTGCTGAGGGTGCACTTAATCAGTCCTGTATACTGCAAGGACTAGTCTGGTTTATCTACACAAAGTCTCCATTTGTTTATAAATTACTAAAAGACATTTCACAACTTCCTTCTTAAAAAAAGAGGCTGCTGCTCTTCCAATTCATTTTCCCATCAAAGTCATCACTTACTGAATATCTTTAGGGTCTGTTTAATGTTTTTGATGTTACTGTTCAATATCTCCACAATTAAACATCAATAAATCTTCCCAGTGGTTTACCTTTTGAAGGACACAACAGACTTCAACATGATGTTATGAAATTTTCAATCAAGTTTACACAAGGTATGGTATTTATGTTTTACAAAACAAATGTTTAATCCAAAACATTATTTATTTATACTTACCACTAAGTCACGGTCTTGAAGTAAGTTACGAATTGCTTCATACAAAACAGGTCTCAAGTCTGATTTGAATTTTACAGAAATCCACTGCCCAATCAGCCATATTACTCGTCGGCGTATTGGTTTATACCTTTAAAAGTAGGAAGAAAAAAACTGCACTTTTTATCTCATTATACTAGATGTTATAGAATACTCTGATGAAAAAGAAATCCAAGGATCATGAGGAAAATGTAATTGTCCAAAACAATTCAAAGGTTTAGTTTGTCAAGATCTGCTAGTGCAGAAATATTTTTTCATCAAAATTCTTCATAAGGCAGCTTAAGAGACACTAGCTTAGCCTGAAAAAGTTAATTTTCATCCTAAATGACTGAATCTTGAATGTCTCACTAGAAACAGTTTGTTCTGCACATAGCACACCAATTAAAAAAAAAAGAAAAACAAATGTTACATTTATTACTGCCACTATGATCTACTGCTTTCATGACAGCTTCCAGCAATTTCTTTGGCATTCTTTCAGTGCTCACAAATTTTAGGTCAGGTGCAATTTAAAAATGCAAACTTCAGGACTGCATTACAGCAACTGTCAAAGTAGTTTATGTCACCAGACTAAAACTATTCTAAGAACTGACATTACCTGATCTTGCACTACTGCTGCAAAAAGGGCACAAATCAGTGACCTTTAGAGTCAATGGGAAGAACAAATGAGAAAAACAGTGATTGAGAAAAGCATTTTACAGAGCTGCTATTTTTCTCCAGTGATCATGTAACTCAGATATGTTTAACTTGCAGATGTATAAAGTTAGGGAAGATGAACCCTATTCAGAGGATTTTATCTAACAAATTATTGTAATCTTAAACATATTTTTCATTTGATGAACTTCTACCTTGTAAGCCATCAAGAAGCAATTTAAACTGGATGTTATTGAGGCTTCTCTACATTTATTAAATGTGTTTTATTAAACATTCCCATAACCACGAGATCATAAACAAAGATTATCTTCAGAGAACCTGAAAGTTGTGGAAGTAGCATGTACATAGCAGTTCATTAAACTGGAACACAAAACTAATGAGGAATAACAGTTCAGTGGTACTTGATAATTACTGAGTCACACTGAAGCATGAATAACCCATGCTGAAGCATGACTTACACAACACCTTCTATTTGTTCAAGAAGCTGATGATACAATTTTTGCTACTCTTAGAATGGCACTTTTTACACTTAACCTTGTAAAAATCAGAATATTAAAAAAAACCTAAGTAATTTTCTTGAGATTCAAGTTGGATAGTTTTGAAAAGACAGTCACATAAGGTTTTAAATAACGTAAGTACATAACTGTCTGCTGACAGCAAGGATTTTCAGCTCTGGTGTTATCTTGTTGTTCAATCCATACATCCTACTTGCATCTCTATATTCTTTCTCTCTCTCTCCCTAGCAAAGACAGCATGCTTTCATTCTTGGAGTGGGGTGTGTGGGTGTTTGGGTTTTATTTGGTTTGGGGTTTTTGGTTTGGTTTGCTTTTTTGTGGGATCTTTTAGGGTTTGGGTTTTTTTAACTACTGAAGTTTCTAAAAAGCCTTCTGCTCATACGTGCTCAATTTTGAGATTCTACTTTTTCTACATTCACTACTTTTGGGAAAAGCTCACCTCTTAGTATATTAGTTTTTAGAAGAAGAGCACACACATTGACTAAGCATAGGTCCACTATTGAGCCTGGTGGGCCTAAAGCTCTCATGGGAAAAGTGATAATATTCCAAAATTGTTGCAATGGATCTGCAGTATATAAGAAAAACTGAAGTTTTTAATTTTGCTCAAGTGAACAGTTTTGGTAGTTTTTTCCTAACTCACTCTCTTCTTCCCAAAGTCCCCCAGCATTATCTCTGTTCAGGAATGTCTAGGGAGATATCGGGAAGTTTTCTCATTGGCCTGTATCTACTCCCTTCTATTGGTTGTTAACTCTTTCTTGCCATTGGTGGTTCCATAGGACCCCCTGAACTTTTAACTGGTTATTCAGTAATCCCCTTAAAGCCTATATATATCCCTACCCATACCCAATAAATCTCTCTGGCTCTCCTCTGCTGGTCTCTGTGGATGAGTCTTGTCAGGCTCCCTGGGGACAACATGGTGGGGAGCAGGGGGGAGCATTTTCCCATCCAGGTAATGGGCTAAAACCCCAGGTCCTGGTGCCCCCCCTTTCCCAATCTACCATAGCACAAAATAATGCAGCTTCTGTTGCAATAGTCATAGAACAGTATCTTTAAGGTGTCTGGACAGCATCAGATATTCATGTCAAAAGTGTGTTGCTTGATACTAAATTACTAAGTGTCATATTGATACTTTCTCTCTCAGCAGGAAATGTTGTTTTACAAATGAATTATTGCCAAAAAAAATTGTATGCAGGAAACTACATTCATATTATGGAAAAGTCTCTCCTCAATCGGTACAAAACTAAGTATCATGGCAAGTGACAAATTTGGCAGTGCAATGTTTCTAGAAATCTTTAAGAATACTTTTATATTCATCCCATATTTCTTCTATGGATATGGTCATGGTTGGCAGGTTTACTATCAATGGATAATGGAACATTCAATGAAAACAAAATACCACACACTCCATGATCAAAGCTGACAACACACAAATTTGTGTTCCCAAACTTGAACAAGTTTGTGAGCAACCATGCAAACCCCTGAGGGAGAGCAGATCTTTCCTGAAGCCGCTGTTAAAGCAGGATTCCAAACCACTATCTCCCTTATTGTCATGGTGGTCTCCAATGATGAAAGCAGTAGAAGCAGTTCAAGCAAATTAGGCTTCAAACTTCTAGACCGTTTCTACTGCAAGCTTCTGCCTCCACAGGAATTTCATCCTGGGATACAACAACTGCCAATCAAATGGGTGTCTTCTGACTGCAATATAACTGTATCAGCAACAGAACACTTATGCTATATGACTGAATAACCTAAAAATGCCAAAGCCAGCATGTATGACAAATACCATGGCAGTTCTATTTGAAGGTTGATCATTTGATGCTATGCCCCACCATCAGCAATCTTATACAAAAGATCTCTCATTTTTCCTGCTCTTCTGACATTTAGCCTAACCATTAGAGTACTTGACCAACTGGAGATAGCAAGGCAAGCTTGAAATCTTAGTAAAAAAAAATAGTCTTATGAGAAAAAGAAAACAAACTTTAGGAGACAGAAGGTAAACAACTGTGGCAATTATTCTGTGACTCTGCCATAAGGCTATATATCCAAAAGTAAGTAAGTAATTTTCTTTAAAGTATATTGCACTGAAAAGCATTGTAATATTTGTAAATTTAACAAGGTCTTCCATGCTACATGAAACTTAACTCTGTCTGTAAATAAAGCTTTTATAACTGGCATTTGGAAATAAAAAAGCTGACTAGCAACCCACTATAGAAAATCATTTACAATTTATAGTAGCTCCTAAGGGTATAAGGAAACAAATTTGGTCATGTTTCAGACAACAATTATGTTTGGCAAGATAAATTGCGAATGTAGAAGAAAACATAGTAATAACAGCTTTCAAAGGACACTAGGGTCAGTGTCAGTGACTGTTAAGAAAAACAGGACATACAAGGGTGATTTGAACTCATCTGATAAGAATTAGCATGAACAGTAATGTTCACTGTCCTTTCCCCTGGGGAAAGAGTGACGGTTTGAGGAACAGGAGGAACTCTGCCTTCTAGACAGTTTTAAAGAGGGCCAGATCAGTCTGTACTGAGATGACAAAACAAATCTTTCAAAATACCCTATGACATCCACCAAACTAAAAAAGCAGCACTCATGTGAAGGCCATCCAAGTGAAGGGGACCTTGGTTAGAAAGAAAAACCCCAGCAGACGTACTGTATAAAAATATTCCTGTAGAAACAGCCTGTAATTATTCATACTTCACAATATAACTTAAATCCTTACTTCCCCTCTTTACTGTGGGCAAAATTAACTGAAGTGAGTTACAGAAGGCTTGTATTTAAAATAACACAAGGGAAAAAAATCACTATTTTGGCTAAACTACAGTTTTAGAGAGATTATTTCCACAGATTTCAGTTGGACTTTGTTGCCTGAAGAACTCTGGGGTCTCTGGAGGACTAAATATCTTTCTTTAAATGAGTAAGTGGTTGTCCTGAGAATGTTTAGTCAAGTCACATATATGCAAGAAGACAGACTTAATGTACTTTTCCAGAACCTAGAAGTATCCATCATATAGTAATTTAAACACGAAGTGTTTTTAGAACACCACCACTTCAGTGACTGTAGCAGTTATCTGTACGTATTTTCATACCTCTGCTTACTTGGATTTGTTTAAAGGTTGAATATTTTTCAAATCTGCAATTATTATATATTATCAGATTTGGATCAAAAGTTTGTATTTAAATGATGAAGGCATAGCAAACCAAGATGTTTACCTGTCATGAGAAACCTGTAGTTCTGCTAATAGTTGATTTTTAAACCACTGATCAAAATCCACACTATCAAATAGTTCATAAGCAGCCAGTCCAACCGCATTATACACTGGGGAAAAACAAAAGTTATGCTTATTGTTTGTTTAAATGTTTATTTTTTAATACTAAATAATCAGATTTGAGAGTCAAACCACATTTTTGATAACCTGAGCATAATAAAGAAAACAAAATTAAAGCATATTTTTCTTTAGAAAGCTTTATCAGACCACGTGAAGGGAACTCTGGAGGAAATTTTAGTACAAGAAAGGCATTACAGAAGAAAGCTCAGTGTCTTGAAAATAGCTAGAAGCTGAAAGAACAACAAGGATCCTATTCTAACATCAAGGACGTTAGGTTCCATCAGAAACAATTCTGTTCTTTTGCCATAAAATCTTCTTACTTGGAAAACAGAGTATCTCCATGGAGACACTAAAGGTCATTTAGTTGCAGAGCAGAAAAGACAGGACAGTAAAGAGATTCTCTAAGGGTTTGTTCCACAAAAAAGCCAAAAAGCACCAAATTTTTGCATCAGCATTTTGAAAAGTGCAGACTGACATCAACTGAAAGGAGAATTAGGATTTATGTCCCACTTTTCAACTTTTTTATTAAAAATCTTGCAAATTCTTCATGCTATTTTTAAGAACTCACACACATACACAGAAGTGGCTCTGTTATTTCAAAGGTTAAGAAAAATTTACCAGCATCTTTGATCAGTATAGCATTGGTATCTTCTATGTTCGTAGATCCTACAAGCCAAAGTTAAAATAAAGAAAAAAGTCACTAAAACAAGGAAGGCAAGTAACTTTGCACTTACATGCCCTACATAAGTAAGCCATGAATTAAGACTGTTTTGCTGCTTTTGTTTCATTTACAATTTCAGTCATTTCAGTTTTGATGCTTTCTTTAGTTAATATATTAGAATCAATTCTCTGCTTTCACACCCTATTTTTGACTTACTACTTTGGAGATTAACCTTTCTAATAGCAGTCAGAAGCATGCATTTAAAACAAACAGACTCAAAATGTGCAAATTGCAGATGACTATCAACCACATAGTAATATTTCCAACAGGGTCCTAGATGTAGTTCCATATACTTTTTATATATATACATGTGTGTGTGTGTGTGTGTGTGTGTGTGTATGTAAACTTACCTCGTGTAAGTGAAAATCTCCCCAAATTTTAAGAATTAATGAGTATTTAATATCAACTAGTACTTCAAAAGCAAATGTCAAGTTGAAAACATGCAGAAGTGGCTAATATGGGCCTTGGGAGAGAAAAACAGTACAGGTGTACCTTTTAGCATGGTAGTATTAATACTATTAATATGCCTGTAATCTTTGGAAAACATATTAACTACCAAACCTGTTGTAAGGAACTTTTTACTATTCCCAGTATCACAGCACAGCAAGACATCTCAGCACCTATGTGTACAAAGTATTTTATGAAGAGATTTTGTGAAGTCAGAAACCATCCTCAGAATATGAGTATTTATTGAAATAGAATGTAATGATCTACCCTGGTCAACTCAAATACAAAATATTGTACGTCAGCTAAGATACAACCTGGGGAAATAACCCAGGTTGAAATTATGGGGGGAGGGGAGGGAAGCTATTCCCACTTACTATCTTTCCTGGCCATTATAAAACTTAATTTGGGGGCAAAGAATCATACAGTAAAACAGAAAGAAAATGTGAAACATTCCTCAGCTATGAATACTTAACAACTTTTTTAAAGCAGATTCTTCAGATTTAGGAAGTCCCCTAGACTCTCCAAAATAACACCATAACAAACTTTTTCTTTAAAAGTTTCTTTTTCGCCCAGGATTTTGGCAGAGACAGCATAAACAGCCTTGAAACATTTGAACAGGAAATTCCTGACAAAAACCAACCTACAGAAGTCATTAAGTTTGTGGACTACTCTCAAGAAAACCTGTAACCTCATGAAACCAGAAACACCTCAACCTTTGTCAGTCATTTAAAACAGGTATCATGAAACGTAAAAAGTCCTTAGGATTTCCTCCTCCTAGACACAATTGCATTTTCCTTATGGTAGGTTTAGAAATAATTTTAAAATATTAACATGTCCTTTCAAAAATACAGAGTGAATGCACTATATAAAACTAAATATTACAAGTTAAAATTGTTTAACTGTTCAGGAAAGCAAATGTAAAGAATTCTACATTTTCCACCTCCTTTATTTTTTAAAGAACTTACCTTGTAGACTGTGAACCATTTCTAAAAGCACTGGGGTAAGAATCTCATTATATTCATGGAAAATATCAATAAAAAGAACTTCTGTGCATGGCTGAAAAATTAGAACACATGGTTTAGAATCTATTAAAGGCAACTCAAATACATTTTATGCTAAAATTTCAAGTGCTGAATATCTCGCACTAAAGGTCATAATTTAAAACACAATAAACTGTAGCAAAATTAGCACTATATGAAATACCATTCTTCCTACTATACATTATGTTTAACTCTAGGAAGAGTTTGATGACTGCATCTGTATCAGCCAATTCTGTAGCAGAAGAACAATGAATCAGTGAAGTGAAACAGCCAGTGTTGAATAGCCAGCGATCATACTGTAGACTTCACAGGCTGGTTTTGGATTAACTCTAGCTGAGTGGTTCAGACTAAATATCCATTTACAGCTGGAACACATTAGGTGCACAAGGTTGGGTTTTTCAGTTTTAAAATTAAAGTAATCCAGCAAATAAACTTAGAGATCACTCTGCAAAGCACATCACAGCAGTGACAATTGGGAGATTCATTATAACAACATACTTCTGATCTGAACTAAATTAACTAATAACTAATATAATTAAATATGCTTAAAGATATCTACATATTTAAATCTATATTATCTGAAACCTTCTCCATTCAACATGTATATTAATAAAGTCGTAAGTGATAACATCAGTTAAAGAAGAGACAACTTCTACTGGCTTTACCACCATCAGATACTACATAAAACAAATGCTGAAGCAAACTCCTTTTCCCTCCCTCCTAAAATATCAAGTGCATAGTTTCCAGTGCATTTAAGCACGTTGGAACAGCGATAAAGTAGCAAAGTTAATTTTTACTAATTCTAAAGAAATTTCCTTAAGGATTTTTTTTTTTTTAAAGCATCATCTTTCTACCAGGTATCACCTCCCTTGGTTACAAGACTATCAAGAAATGCATCCAGAAATGTTTAACAGTTTTCTTTCAAACTGAAACACTTACTCTGAGACTGTACTTCCAAGAATCTCCTCCTGTCTCTTCTACAGCTATTATTTCACAAAGAAAGAAGAAAGTATTATTTCAACTATAGTTCAAATAAAGTTTGGTATCTGGATATGAGGGTATCATAGATTACTGATAAATCTCTTGTTATGAAAAGAATCTCTAGAGGGAATGTTTGCCCACATAAGAAGACTGTAGGAATAAAATGCTCAATATTTGCAGTAGACAATTTGTAGAGACAATGCTGATATGAAACGTTTATACCAATATCTAATAAAACTGCAACCAACAATACAACATGTTTCTTACTGAAGCTTTCTGGATCTTCTTCCCACATAGTCAATTCTTCCTTTGTCAGCAAGAAATAGTGAGTGACTAATCTCCTACATATTTCCATTAGTGTTGGGTATGTGAAAAATGCTGTCTTTATCTTATGTGCTTCAAGAGTTTCAGGACTGCTGTCTGAAATAAAAGACAGAAAACTCCAAATTACAGTTAAGTTGGTTAATGATCAAACATTAGTCTAGTAAAACTAGAAAGAAATCAGTAAATAAAACATTCTTCTCCTCTGAGAAAAACAAGTATTTTCATGACAGACTTCAACAGACTTTCATGTGGCACTTCTTTAAAATCAAGTTAAACCCTCAAATTACTTTTAAGAGTTCTCTGACAGCACAGTTAGACTGAAGGGCTGTCAGGACTTCACACAGTATTTAAATGCTTTTCAGCTACTAGGCAGATGAGAAGAAAAGCTGTTTACCTCCTGCCTTGGGCACTTTACTTTTGTTTTAGCATTACTGAATTTAAAAGCACACAGAACTCAAGGAAATTCCATTTATACCTATTCAGAGAGTTTATCCAAATACAATCTTAGAAATCATCCGAGATTTTTAGGAGTTAGTACTGGTTAAAGAAACCAGCAATAAAGACAAATGCTGTATGCTGTACAACCAACACAAACACTATATGTCAGTCAAATTAAGAAAAATAAATTTTCTGTTTTACACTTTTTTGTAATCACATCATTCTCAAAAAGTCAAACTTTCATCAAAATGTGCTATATTCCTCTTGTTTCAAGTGACTACATTTTGAAACTCAGAGCTTACTATGTACTTTTGCAAGTAGAAATTTGTCAATAGAATTTGTCAATAGTAGAAATAATCAACAGACTTAGGGTATTGCAAAATTATGGAGTAACTCTGAAATACATCAATATTTTGATGAATTTTAAACACTGGATTCATGTACTCTTTTCTGACAAATTCCAGTACACTTATGGAAGTTCGGCTTTTTTCAAATTTAAAAAGAGAATGCTAATTTTTATCAAGTCATTGCGACATGTCAAGCTCATGTGGAAAGTTGTGGTGGTTTTTTTATCTGTACATACAGCAGTTTATGAATTTTCAAAATGAAATACAGTCCTACAAAACAGAACATATAAACTGTTTTATATTCAACTGTATCTCAAATCCACTGTGTTTCTGTATTTCAGAGTGCTGGTATTAGTTAAGTACAGCAAATACATAATTTTATCAAACATCTCCCAAGGGAAAGATGCAACTAACTCGTTGATGAAAATAAACCCAATTCTACACCACAATACCTCTTAAAATTAGTTCAATGAAAACTCAAACAATCAAAAAAGAGATTCATGATACTTTTGTATTTAAATTGCCTTTAGCAAATCACCATCTATTTAAATTAATACTTTAATAATTAAAATAATAATTATTAATATGGAGAGTGGAACTTTACTAATTATTAAGAAATTCCTAAAGGAGTTATACTGTTGGAAACAGCTAGCAAAATGTTTCTCAAGACACAAAAAGTGGTTTTAGTGAATAGCAGCAGTACCTTCAATATTTTTGGATGGCTTATATGCATAATTTTTTACAATCATCTTAATGAGATTCATGCATTGTACAATAAACTGCTCAAATACAATTCCTTCACCAGCTTCTGTGAAAACATAGCTCACGGCGAACTCCAATGATCTCTGAATCAAAGCAGTGAATGAAAAAGGATGTTGATCCAGGAAGTCCAAAAGCTAAAAAAAGAAGTAGAAAAGCAAGAAAGAAATCAAAACCCTTTTTGTGCAAGTCTTATTAAATGCTTTAGTAAACTAGTTATCAAAAACAAGTGACAACTTATATAAAATTATAGAAAACACAGACAGGAAATTAGAAGGAGATCAGTATCAATGGTTAATGAAGCATTATTTAACACCAACATTCTTGATTTTGATTCAAATCACTTCTTTTTTTAAGTTCGAGGAACAAATCCATTTTCAACTAGATGGGATTACTAGAAGTAAATAAAATACCTTAGCCACACCTGAAATGGTAAACATTTCAGCAGATAATTCACCCTTATTAGAATTGTTGCAAGTAAAAGAGGCATAAGAAATAAAACTTTTTTTTTTCTTCCTCCTCCACTGCAGTATAAGCTTCCTTAAGTTAGCTTTTACAACTATCTACTTAAAATGCACTGGTGGATTGCTTTAATCTCCTCTGCCACTGCAAAAATTCTTGCATCCAAATGCCTACGTGGTAGGATATCTATTAACCCAATGTATTTTCTCTTCAGGTCTGTGAAAAAAGATGCATTTTTGCAATGTAAGTACTATGACAAAGATCAAAAATATTGGGTCATAGCATCTTCAGTTCAGTTTTGGTGAAGTTGATAGGTGCCTTCCCCTTCTAATAATTAGGCTGAATATTTAAAATACATCCATGCCCCCTAGATAGAATCTGGAAACAATGTGAACTCTGTAGGTTTTTAACTTCAAAACAAAAAACAGAGTAAGTGACAATGCTAAAATTACCTTCCAATAATACAAGCATTTAATGCACACAAAGTTAGCTGACAACTCCAAATGTATTACACAATACAAAAGTTTCAGAGGGTAAGAGTTTTTTGTTAAGTTTCTTTTGATAAAATTAACAGGGCCTTAGAAGTAACAATCTAACTACTTACAAAACACAGGAAGAAAAGTTTGTCTTCTTTATTCCTTTGTAACTTAACCACTGCTTTAGCAAAATTTCCGGAACTCTTCTTTGAGCAAAATCCTGGCTAAATAATTTACTTACAGAATGCACTCAATTTTATATGAGCTAAAGAAATGTATTCTTCATGGCTGCAATCTACATCAGCATGAATAAACAGACACCTGTTTCTTCTAAAACACATTTCATAACAAAGAAGTTTTAAATTGCACTACCTTCCATTTCTTTAAAAGATCTGAAATGTATTCACCTCAAGGCACATACATATCTCAGTGGAGACTGCTCCTCCAGACCTAAAAATATTCAGTAACTGAAAGGAGAATTTACTTACCACTTTAGTGAACAGAATTATAATCTTTTCTAGACGATCTCTGCATATGCTTTCTGCTCTTACACTTCTACCTGGTAAATCAGACATTTAACAACTATCATTTTTCAGACTTTCCTTTTCTTTCTGGATAGCTAAGTTTTAGAAAATTATCACTGGAAAAGAACTTATTTTTACTGTAGTTCAGGTATTATGCCAGTCAGAAAAAAGTTCTTTGGCAGAATAAATTCAAAGTCAAATGCAAGGTAATGAGCACCAGGATACAGTGAATTTCAGTGTTCCATCAGGCTACAACAATCGGGACATTATTATAGAAAATTTAATGATAGCAATGACTGCAGTGAATCAAATGCTAGTACAGGAAAAAAGCAAGTACAGCACAAAAATATGAAAATGTCCTTTTAATAAAACTATTCCACATCCTTTCTGCATAATATTATGCATTTCTGTAGAAACTCCACCTTAAAGAATAGTTTATTATGGACACTGGAAAACATTCCAAATTGAAAGAAAAAAAAAGAACAAAACAAAAAAAAAACCAGATAAATATTTTAGGAAAAGAAAGAAAAAAACCAAAAATTGCCATAATGAAGGCATAAAGGCAAAACCCATGGCATAATAAATGTAAACACTAATCCTGTAAGGTAGCTGTACCTGCTTTTGCAGAACAATTGATTGCTTAGAAAAGTTCAGCTCAGTTCTTGCCTTAGGACACTCAGACCCCAGGGTCCTCATATTCTAGGGGACTACAATAGCCACAAAACTTTAGGATGGGATGGCCTTCAATTCAGTCCACTCAAACCAGGCATTTATCTTGTAAAAAATGAAGGAAGGGCCAGAAAGAACCTGATTACAGTATAGTAAAAGGGGCAAACAGTGGCTGTTTCCACCTCTTCTAGAAATGAGGCTCAAAGCCTAGATCAGCCCCTCTTACCTAACTACAGGCTCCTAAGCCAAGGAATGTCATCAAAATATCAAAAATGTTAAAATTATATATAACTTCTATTAAAAAAAAACTCTATTTAGTTTAGACATCTGTTCTTGGAAAAAGTGTTGTTGAATCCTAAAATAATGGTTTGGCAAGCTTCAAAGGATTGAACAGTTTACATCAGATTTATTACAAGTGTACACACAAGGAAGGTAGAGTGAATTCAGATGGAACACTGTCAAACATCTCCTTTTTGCTTGCTTCAGGTAACTTCCCCGTAAAAGCACTGACACCTGCCAATTATGATTCTGATTCTGTCGACTGTATTAACCTGTGGATGCCTGTCTCAGACTACTACTTTTCCAGTTACAAAGAACAAAGATTTGAATATGCTTTTTATTTCCCATTTGACACATACCAAAATACATAACAAACTACTGGAAAAAGAAAAAACATAGAACTCTCCCAAAGAAGAAAACTCAAGATGCTCTGGGTTTTAGTAGCAGCTCCATATTTTAATATGGATACCTTGTCAATCCATGACTTACGATTTTTCTCCCATTAACATTGTAACACCAAATATAATTTTGGTGGGATTTTAGTCTGTTTATTAAAAAGACACTTTTCCTGAATTCTTCTCTGACAGTTTCAGTAGGATTTAAAGTAATAGCTTTGCACTTATAAAAACATATCTTGCACCTAAATTATTATTGATAATGCTCTAAACTGTATTGTTTTCATCCAGCTTCCAATGTTTAACAACAAATACAACAAAAATTATCCATATACTTACTACACTCCAGAAACTGTTTCAGCCGTTCAAATACAGCATGTAGAAAACCCTGAAAAACAAAAGTATACATGTATAAAAGTATACATTTTAAGGATGAAGCTTGGTTTGTGCTGTATTATAAAAATAAAGTTGTGTCAAACTGAAGTAAATTCACATGTATCAGCTCAGACTCAACCCCATCACTTTTAATTTATTATTTTGGACAATTAATAACTAGCTAGGAAGCAGACTGCATAGATGATCCAAAGTGACCTTATTAGTACCACACAAACAGCGCAGCATCTCTAGTAGAAAAAGGGATAGGTTATTATAGACATATGCTTTAAAATACGCTTATCCAGTTCTATCCTGATCTCAACCTCCCAGTTTAGGACATAGGTCATAGGACTCAATCCTTCCAGCAGAACAGGGTTAAGGAAGGTGCCTGGATTTCTCTCCCTGACCCTCCCCTCTCCAAGGGCTGCACACCACATGCTTTTATCTCAATTAAACAAATTCCATCAATAGAATATGACAGAACAAATATGGCATCACATTCACCACTGAATGAAAACACGCTTTTACATGAGGTGGGAGGGAGAGACATCTCTCAGTGAGAAACAGCGGTGTCACCATCACATGATGTGTAAATGGATAGGGGTACCTTTTTTCTTTTAAACATTATGCCATTAGTGTCACAGTGTTGAGGATCTACCTATGATCTGACAGCTCTTGACTAAGGACAACTTTGAGAACACACTGGTTGACCTTCCTTTACATAAAAACATGTGTGCCTTTCAGCAATTTTCAAACATAGCTCTAACATCTGAAATCATCACAAAGGATTTTTAATTTAGAACTAGAAATATATACATGTCACTTACCATCACCTCTGCATTCCAATGAGGTTCTACAAAGCCATGAACCGTTAGTTTCCGAAGGACTAGGGAAAAAAAAAATTCCTTTTGTAGCTATTTATCAGCTCCATATCTAACATTAACCTTGTTGAAATTACTTTAAAATTCAGTACATTGTGTAAAGCAATGAAAGAGAACTCCAAGAATTACTGAATCAAGAAGAATTCTGTAAAAACTGCAAGTATTCAACCTCCAAATGATTCTACAGTAGGAAAAGGGCCAAATACAGACAAGCAAGGCCCATAAGCCATCCTATGAATTTTCTCAGTTCTGTATTGCCAGTAATACAGAAAAGTTGCATACTGCACTTTCTGAAACAATTCAAGACAGGTTTTATCTACATTACAAGCAAGGCACATGGACAATTCTTCAAAGCAGCAAAGTACAGTCAGGACATGTATTTACTCCACAAATAAGCATTTGAGCATCAACCTAAAGATAAACTCTTCAGGTTAGCTCTTCACTGGACACAAGGTGAACTTAATGGAATTAAACTCGTAGCTCAGCTTCACCAACTAAGTGGCTAAAGACATGCAAGCCCAAACTACAACACATGTAAAAAAGCATCCTGTTATGCCCTCCACTTTCTCACCTCCTAGACTTTGACTTCTTACAAGCAGCACATTGGAATGGTGCATATTGAGAAGTGGTGCATGCAAGACTACTGTCTCCTCCCTTCACATGAGAAATCCTCCTTGTCTTGCTAAAGCTACAGGTAAAATGAACCAAGACTACTGGTTTTCCCAATGGGCTCAGCTTTGTTAGAGAATGTGAACTACTGACCAAAGAAGTCCTAGTCATTCACTGTGAAGAAAGTTATTTGACTCTTTATATTTAATTTCATTCTATATTATTACCTTTCAATGACAACAAGGTCCTTTCTAGTGAATTTGCAGCTGCAGCTTCATTCCCCGCACAAATCTGCTGTAGGAATGTATCTGTATGATGATTCCACAAGGAACATGCAAAGCTATAAATACTTGATGTAAGCTGCAAAAGGAAGAAAGATCAAGAATATATTTCCTGAACTTTGTCATAGCAAAATAAATCCTTAAATTTTAAAGGCCAATGTATACTGTTAAATTATTTAATCCATCTTCTTGTATATCACAGGCCACAACGTTTAATTTGCTTCTTTGTTTAATGCTGTACTGATCCAAAAATGTTTTTCAGAAAAATATCTCAATTTCAAGATGTTTTGAAAGATGCAGTGGTTTCCCTGAGTACTTGGGTCTACGATTCTAACCTTAAAGATAACTATTTAAGGCTCCTTTTTTACGTGGTTTTTATTAAATACAGCTGCTGGTGTATAATGTGGTACGAAGCTTTAAAAAATGATCAGTATTCCTCATAACCTCTTTCCCAAAAGGCTTAAACTGTCTGTCTTACAGCATAGTTAATATCTGAATCAGCTTACCCTGGGACACAGCAGTTACACATCTGTTACACATCTTCAACAAAACTAACTTTATTTTCTTGATAGGTGCAAAATCTATCCTTTTCCCTCAAAATTTTTAAAATACAGAATGACATATAGTTTCTAATAAGGTAGAACTGAACAAATCTCAAATTTAATTTATGTTAGAGTTTCCAGACAGTACCTGCCTGATAAAGATATCTGAATTATAAAGAGAAGATAAAGAATTTCTCACTCAGTTATGGCAGCACTTGACAGCTTCATATTACGAAAGTCCGCACTCAGTCTGCTACACCTCATTAATGGAATCAATAGCACATGACCTGTTTATTTGATTCCTTCAGCTGAGTAAAGGTTAGTAAAGGTCCTGTTTATAGGAATCAGTTCTCAATGCCTTGGACTCTAGGCAATTAAAATTTCACTTTCATGATTACATGATTACACAGACAGGACTTTTTTCTACAGAGATAAACAGGTAAACCTTCATAAACAGTCTTCATTTTTTGTGCTTTAGAAACTCTTTAAAATGGAGGAATAAAATAAAATTTTAAAAATGGAAATGTAACGTTTGGAAAAGATGTTTAACTCACTAAATTCGGTTAACTCTACTGCACTGTTATCTAACACCAAATGGGTCTGGAGATGCACAGTCTACAACCAAAGTTAAATCTGTGTTCTAATCACTGGATTCTTACAATAGAGAACATAAGCTGCATGAGCAAGATTTGGTATTTGCATTCCCATCTTGCCTTTTAATTAACCCAGAGAGTTCATCTGGAAACCCTCCCAAACATATTCTCACTGATGATAAAACCAAAAATAGAGTAGTATGGAAGTCTACAACCCAGTATTTTTTACAGAACATAATGAATTATAAATCCAGAACACATTTCCAAAAAACACCATAAATTCACATAAAATAAGATCTGCTGTACGGCATGGTAAGGTTGATATGCAGATACTGTTCTGTAGATGAAACTCTGCCTCTTACACAAATAAGAACACTCCAGCTGCACGCAAAATTAAAAAACATCCAAAAAATATTTCACCTAGAAACTGACTTTCAGTTATTTCATAATACACATACACCCACCACCATAACAGCATTTCTGTTTCAAGGGCAGACATTGAAGTCCACAGACATGCCATTAATGCCTTGCCAGCTAAGCCCAGGAAGAGGCAAGGATTATTTACATCATAGAAAAGTTTTCTATCTGCAGCAAGCCGTTTGGATGACAGGGTCTTCGTAACATGATAAAAGGTAAGTAGCGCTCTGTGCTGTTGAAGATCATCCTGCACCTTCACTGATTCTACAAGAGTGGGTATAAGTTCCGGCCATTGCCTTGGGCAGTCCACCCTTGCAACTTTGGCAATCAGTACAGAGATCTGAGTAGCTATCTGCAAAAAAGCAAAACAAAAAGCAGATAACACAAAGTCAAAGGGCATTTAGGAAATATACTATGCAGAAATTAACAGCCAAATAAAACCTGAATCAAAAAAGTAGTATGGATTTTTGTGTGCTTTTCCTCAAGCTATTTTTAAGTTTGCTGAATGCAAATAAATGTGGAGTAAAAGCATTTTATTTACATAAAATGCTAAACTTGATACCTCTTTTTAATTCTACATAAAGACAAGTAAATATATTTGTTCTAGAAGTCACATAAAATAGCTGTGCCCGCCTCTCCTGCTTCCTCATCTGTTTAATCCAGAGCCTCACCACCTCACAAAGCTCTCTACAATATTCATTCCCACCGACCTGCTTACAGAGATTTGCTTCAGGAAAAAGACAACATTCGCAAAGAAGAGCTGAGAGTCTTACTGATTATCGGAACAAATTATGTCAATTGGCAGTGGGGAGGAAATAAAACTCCTGTCCATATGCCATACAAGAAGCAAACTCTCCAGAGAGGCCAAGAGTAACTTTAGTAACTTTTCCTTCAGGATTGGCTTTTTAAGTCAAAAAAAAAAAAAAAAAAAAAAAAAAATCTGCTGTCATACACATTAAGGACTAGTTTGCTCCTCTGTTCCCTCCATATCATAAATATCTTCAGAGGGCACAGAAATTAAGCTCTCAACATATGATATGTTCTCTTTTTCTTTTCCACCTCTCCTGGAAGTCAACTTGTATCACTGCATCTCAATACTATGACTATTTCTCAAAGTTTTTGAGTTGTTCTTCTTTCTATACATGCAAGAGTCATAATTTCCTTCAATGATGCAAAAAGCACAAGCAGAGAGCAACTGTGTTATGAACTATCTGTAACTGGAAAAGAGTACTCATCAGGAACACAGAATATCAAAACTCAGACACATCAAGCATGCTGGGGACTAAATGAAAGGTTCCTCTGAAAGGAAACTTCAGCATACCTACAGACTGGGGAACTAGAAGAAAGAAGGGGAGATGGTCTCTGTAATATTGAACACATTGTTTGGGTAATTATTTAGGCTGCTGGCATAAAACAAAATCCTCCACACCTTAAAAAATTACATCCAAAAAAACCCCATAAAAACACACACAAATAAAACAAGGAAGCCACTAGTCTTTAAAATGTCGTTTAAAAAGGCTCTAATCTCAGCTGCAGCTATAGTCTCGGAACTGCAGAACTGCTCAGCAGCACTGGAATTTATAACTACAAAATAAGCCTTCCTACTGTCTTAGCAGGTAAACTCACTAAAGACTAATAAAGGTAGGGAAAAAGTAATCAAAAGTTTGAATTGTTTTATGAATAATGTAGTTAATACTATTTTTTGTACCTAATTTACCTATTCACATATGTAAAAAACATGTCAACTCTTCAAAATTAAACATTAATTAAGTACATAGTAGAAGCATAAACACATACTTGATGGTGTAACTTGACATGTTTCATAGTTATTTTTGGTTGAAATAAAGAAACATATAATATTTGGTCATATTTTTACACCGAAACTATACCTAGACCACAAATTTTAAAATGTTTGCTATATACCTTCTTTTTTAAAAAAATCACATTTGCTATTAAATCTTTTAATTCTAGTCAAAATTATCATTGCACAAGGGTCTTCTATAAAGACTAAATTACCATAATTTTGATAAATTGCTCTAATCCTGGAAACTACATTAATCCCATCAAGGAATCCTGAAAAGTTAAAACTGAACCATCTGCAGAGCAGAAGTTTATGTTCTTTTTAACCTTTACCTTACGCCAATCATTTCTGTATTTTCTTGAAAAAGTTCTTTAAGATCTAGTTCAAACCACTAGCAAATACTTCCTCGCAGAATCTCATACTTACACAATACAGTTAGCAGAAGGAAGATCAATTCATTTAGTATAGGCATATTCTGAGTCCCTAACATTAGTTCTATACTCAATAGAATAAGAATTTACTATTATAATCAAAATAGAAACTTACAGTTAGTCACTTTATGCAAGACAAGACACTACCATACTGAAACTTTATTATGCTTATTTAAATGCATTAATGTTGTAACTAGACATGTAATAGCAAATCTGCTTAGGTCAGTTTATCCAGCAACAACCTCAACAGTTCATTCCTGCTACCATCACACTTTCTGGTACAGCCATACTGGGAGTCAGGTCAGAGAACAGATACAGCTGGAAAAAAACAAAAATCATTCAAGGAAAGGTTATTTTTGAGCTCCATCCATTTCTGGAACCATTTCATCAAAACGGTTGCATAAACCTTGCTGTTTAGGCAAGCGACAACATAAAGTAACACTGCAACAACAACAACAACAAAAAATTCCCACATGCAACAAAAGTAATTCTATAATTTTATGAATTATGACATATGGAAAAAGGTATCACTTCAACATAAAGATCTGTTTAAAAGACAATATGAAAACTGCCACTTTATTACTATAATTAAATACTTTATAAAGGAAGAAGCCAAGTCATATGCCAATAAAACCATTTGCTGGGCGAGTAGTAAACATTCACCACTAACCTGATTCACTGGCTCATTAAAGTTGGTGATAAGTCCAGCACGTAATGTAGTTTTTTCTTCTTCAGAGAGAGCGCTGTCAGGATATATTTATTAGAATATTAATTTTTGATTAAAAATTACTATTAATTCATTTGTAACTATCAAAAAATAGTATCAAAACTATCAAAAGAACATTCACTGTTTTTCCACTATCTCAAGTATCTTTAAAAGAGAGGGAACAGTGAAACAAAAACTTATGATACCTTTTAAACTCAGGTTTTGAGACCTAAGGTAACCTTTTCAAAGACAAATGGCAAAAGAGAAAGCTGACAGAGTAAGATACATAGATATATAATGAAAAAACAAAACTGTACAAATTACAGACTGATTGCTCTTTGACAATTATTATATAGTTATTACTGCCAGAATTGCTAATTTGAGCATGAATTTGTCCATGAATACTAATGGACCATGACCAAGAAATGCCCAGAACAAGGCAATCATCTTATCAGATGAGAACTCTTTCTGCAAAAGCAATAGTTCTTTTCTATTACAAACAAGTTTTATATTTATACTTAAAAGTATGGATCTTTTGAAAATTATAGCTTAGGGTGAAAAGTATGGCAATACATTCTTCAAAAAATGTGGGGGAAAAGGGTAAAAAAGACAAACGCTAAGCCATAAAGGGTAATTTGCATTCAAGTGCAACTTTGTGGCATCTTAATACTTCATTTCAAGTGACCTCTATCAGTTTAAGATTACAAGTTACAGTATCCCATCATTCCTCTACTACTTCAGACTTCATATTACACAACTTTCTTATAATTTCTACATAGAAAACACAACACAGTGGTTTTGAAAATGCTTTACTGGTATTTATAGATTATACTAGCAGGAAAAAAAAGGAAGTAGAAAATCCCAACATGTTTTAATTCAGTGATAGCACCTACAGTGCTGTTTCTTCTTTATAAAAAGCCTTTAGGCTATCATCCAAGGTTGTTTAGATGAAACAGTTCCACCTAATATTGCAATGATTCAGAAGCATTAATGCAAACATCGCATCTCAGTGAAGACTAGTGACTGGAAATTAAGAAGATTAAACATATCAACACAACCACTTCCTGTTTTCTGACCTCAGGCACAAATACAAATCTACTATTTTTATATATTGAGATTTAAAATGATGCCTAAAGCTCCCTGAAGCATAGCTTTTACACTAATCTAGACAAATACTAGATAATACTCTCAAAATAATAATAAAAAAAAAAAAAAACAGAAGCAGGATTTACCATAGGATAAAAATGTTTGCAAAAATATTAGTTTTTATTTCCCACCCCAGGCCCTGCACATAACACAAGTACTCTCCACTTTCTAGATTAGAGACTTGCCATTCAAAGTACAGTAGACAAGGGGGGCAAGTAATTGTTTCATTACTGACTCAGAACTGTACACTAAGTCTTACTGTCCAGGTAATTTACAGCATTCAGGAACAATATTTAAATTTACTTTTTTTTAATCAAGACTTAGGCTTTTAAGATTTTTCTGAATAAAATTAAATTATGCCTAAAAAAATTTTAGGTAAACTTTGCAAAGATTTTTGCAACAATAAGTTTTTCTACAGGTAATTCTTTAATTCATTAATCTAAAGCCATTACATTTCATGAAATTAAATTTTTGTGGTCCTCTTTTATAATATGAAACTGTAGTATATAATTTCCATGCATAAAGACACAATTTAAGTGGTTTCTAAAACTTAAATATCTTATTAATACAATTAAGAATTCTATTCTCAATTAAATGTAGCTTATACAATAACTCCCTTTCAGAAATAATAGAAAGCATCTAAAACCTGATTTGTGAAGAAAAAAACCCCCTGTTCTACTACATTATTTCATATACCTTGTTTGTGAGCTCATGAGACTCCTTACCTTAATTATATATTCATAATCATAATTACATTGAACTTGCATAGTTTAAGAGCAGCAAGAATTCAGTTTGTTATTTACTGCAAATAAAAATGCTGTAATTCGGCTTTTGCCATGGCAAACAAAACAAGGCAGGAAAAGAAATAGATTCATGAGGATGGATGACTCAAATACAGATGCTTGTGATAAGTAAAGTTGGAAAACAGTAATGAAAAAAAAAATTCTAAGAAATCAGGCGCTGATGCAAGCGGTACACGGCACTGTGTGATGGGATCTCTAGGGGTTTTTGGACCATGGCTGGAGGAATTTACTATCTAAATACAACAGTGACACCTGCTGGAGAACAGGGACACTCCCAATCGCCCTGCAACCCCCCGAGGGCTGCACTCTCAGTCCCTGCAGGAGTCACAGACATCGCCACTGGCACCACTGTCCTCATCTTCCCTTAATGCATTGCAAGACAGTCCCACAATTCCATACATTTTTAGGCAGGGTTTTGCCATACAAGTTTTAGGCAGGCGAGTATTTAGGAGGAATGTGTATCGCTCAGTGAGTTATTTCCCTGAATTACACCAGCACAAAAATTAAAACAAGTTCATATAGACATGAACTTCTAAGTATTTATGCCATAGTCCTTCACAGTTTGCAATGTCAAAGTTTTATTGATCTTCTGTGTTTGCGGTACAGGCAAACAGGTATCCAAATATTTACAAAGTTATTTTGGATTTCTGGCTTATGAGGAGTTATCATTCAAGTAAAAAAAAATGGATTTGAAAAGTATTATTAAAGCTGTTAACATAGTACTCATATAGAACAAGGCCCACAAGAAACAGGATTCAAACATAATTATCTGTAGTACCAAAAACGTGTTCAACATTTGAATTCAAGAAAAGTCACTTCTAAAGAAAATAAAAATACATACTAAATCATCAAATGACACAACCTTCTGAGAAGGTTGACAATAAATTTCAAAAAAGAGGTGAAAATGTGCCTGAAAGGAGGCTATGACAAGCTTAGGCTCATGGCTACCTGGAAAGGTGCCAGAAAAAAACAGGAGGGAGAAAGTTCACAAGCTCATCTTCAAAATCACTCCCACTGGAAAATGCTGTTTTAAGTCTGATCTGTAGATCAAAACATGCTTTGATGTACTACTATGGATGGAGGGGGACAGCTGCTGATGAGAGACACAAGATGAAAGACACGAATTTTGCAAGGACAACAAAAATGCAATGAATCCTTCATGACATCCAAAATATGACTGGTTCACAAAACAATCAACTGAGAAGTTACAGTTTAAACTGGCATTTCTCAAAATGCCCTCAACATTTAGAAGAATTTAAAGAAATTTTTAAAGAAAGTTAGAAATCAATAGAGTTGGACACAGAGTGGAAATTTATTATGTATTTACCTCATGGAATCTTTAACAGCAGCCAATAATTTTTAAAATTTATTTTATACTTTATTTGCATTTAAAAAATACAAAAAAGTGGCAGAAAAATTAGAAACAGGGATAAAATAGGATTGCATTGGAAATTTAATATAGATTCGCCACAAAGAATCTTTAATGACAGACTGTAATTTTCTATTTTTTAAATTACATTTAACTTAAAACTGCAGAAAAACTACATTGAAAGATTATTTAATTTTTACCTCAATTCAAACAGTAAAATTGCAGTCATTATTTCTGCAGGAAATAAACCATGCTTTTTTCACCAGAAATGCTACTAGAATCTAAAAATATTAACAAATTGAAACAATTATTTTCTTGGGATAATGCTTACTAAGTATCAGTAATGTAACCAGCATCAAATTAGCCAGAAACATCAAAGATATATGCCATGCCAAAGATTATATTTTTCCTCTCACATAAAAGAGAATACAAATGCTTGTAGGTGTTTTTCAATTGTATACTAATCCACACATACAAATACTCTAGTGTTTTATGTAATCATGAAGGAGTACTACAATATTTAAAGTATGCTGTGGATACAGAATTTTATAACTTTTCCCTCCTTTGGTAGATCATTGGAAGAGCTTAAAATGTAAGGCAAAATACATTAAACTATTTCAAGCAAAGAACTGAAAATCATACTTTGTGCCATACTTTGTGCACTAGCTTAAACTCACAATCTACAAAAACAGGACCTAGAATTCCAGTTAATACCCTGAACCTGACAGCGATGTCTAGCATTTAAGACATACTGAACACTTTCAGAGAGAGAATACTTGCAGGTCTTTATAAGTTCTGGAATTGAAACTCTTCTTCAAATTAAAGTTATTTTTAAAAGAAAAAAAGAACTTCAGACCAAACACTCAGAAGTACCTAATTCTGTAGGTATTACATATTAAAATGGCATTTTTTGTAATTTTTAAGTAAATGATGTGGTGCTCAAGAATACTGCTTGTATTTCTGATCTTCTTTGGAGAACTTTTCATCATGCTTTATCAGAACCCACATATCAGAACAACAACAAAAATGAAGACCAGAACTTGCTAGCATCCAGCTACTGCTTCTTTCCAATGTATACATGCAATATGAATCAGCTTAAATAAAACAAAATGTCTCTGTCACTCTCCAAGAGATTTGCTATGTTTCATGTTAGCTACTATCAGAAAGTCCGTGTGTTATCATTGTAACACTTACTTCATCACTTCAAAATCTGGTATCTATGAGACAGCCTTATAACTCAGTTTTCAAAAGTAAATCATGAACAGTCATAAGAAGCAATGTAAAGACAAAATGGTTTCTTAGCCAGTCCTAAAGTTGAAACATTTTATCAGTTTCACCGTAAATTCTAAAGTAACTTCTATGAACTAAGAATCTGCTGTTTTCCCATTTAGCAATCATTACAAAGCCAGTTGTAGAAGGTTAAATGGAGAAACCCAGAACTTACTGTGGTGCCACTCGTCTCCAATAGCGATCAATTCCATTTTTAAAGTACAGCACAGCTAACCACCTTACATTCACATCAAGGCTATGATTTGTAAAGATATTCTGTTAAAAAAAAAAAAATTAAGTTAAAAACTGCTCAACACACCACGAACAGGATAGAAATCGTATCAACACATGCCCTGGTATATATGTAAGTACACATGCCTCTGTATGTACACGTGTACATAAACAAAATGCATTAGACAGGTAAGAGAAACACTGTTTTAAACATGAATTTTTAGAGACTAAAAATACATTTATCACTAGCCCTGCTACTTCATTTATTAAAAAAACAACATGTTAGGCAAATGTGCTGCTAATCTTGCCTGGCTGAGCATGGAATGAAAGGGTAACAATCAATAGAATCAGACAATTATTACACTCTTAAATGACATAGCTCTCAGAAGTCTGTGGCACTGCACAATAAAAGGTAATTTCTTAGTCTAGTCAGAACTCAGCCTTTAGGTGACTTCTCCATTATTGTCATTATTCCAAGTTTACTTAATAGCACTTTTCCACTGTATCTTACCAACAAGACTGAATAAAAACCTGGCTGTGTCTCCCACTGCTTCAGTTGTTCCTCAGCTGGCTTCAACACTGCAGTATCTTGGCTAGTAGCTTGCGTCAAGACTCGCAACACAACAGTGCTAGCACTGTTGAGATCCATGAAAATCTGAGAACATTTTAAAAAAAGAGGGAAAACACTTATGGAAAAGAAGACAGCCAAATATAGACAGCTATCTTCCATTAATATTTTCCAAACACCCCACTTTAATTTTTCATTAGACTACACTGTGCAAAGACGGCATTACACCCACTCAGAGGCTGCGTCAAGATACAGTGATCAAATTATTTTGCTTTAAAAAATCTCTCAGCGGAAAAAGTAAGCACTAAGTCTTTCACTATAAGCACATTTATTACATTTGAGAAATTATAGGAAATATTTTGATTTTAAAACAGTTACCTCTCCTGAGAAGCACAGCAACTGAGAGCAAAACTACAACTAGAGATGACTTCAGTTGTAGGCAGATGAAACCATAGGGTTGTCTGAAAGAGGCACAGATGCAGATTAACACTTTTGCATTTTATTTTTCCTTCAAGAGAGAAAATTATCCATTTCAGATAAATACTATGATAATTCAAATTCATTAAAACAATTCCCATCAATTAAAAAATAAAGAATTAAGCTTCACAATCAGTTCTAAATGAACCTGAAATTTCCTTGATATACTTGATTTCCGTATCTTTTTAGCATAAAAATGCTAATGAGCTGAACTATGAATGCCTATTGCCTAACTTCCAATACAAATACATCCTCATAAATCCTTGTATTCTATGAAGACAAAGCAGATGACAGAGATTACATTTAAAATGACTACGGAAACATTACAAGAGAAAAAAAAGACATATTAAAGAAACTATGAACTCTATCAAATAAAACCTTTTTCTGTCCATAAAAAACCTCTGTTTACAACCACCTAAACTTTTGTAACACAGACACATGATAAATATTCATGGTATATGAGTTTTGACATTTAACAAGAACTAACAGGTTTTTGCAGCAGAATGCACCCCAGAAACCACATGTAGCTGAGCCAAGTGATTTAAAAGGACTAACCAAGCAAAGTAAAGAAACAATGAAGAAGGGAACTGAGGTAGCCAGCCAAGTAGTATCAAGTTATTCTATAACTAGGTATATTGTCTTAAAGAAGTTCATAGGCAGTCCCTTAGAACTTTGGGGGAGTTCCAGACACAGACAACCACTAGAAGTGACAACCCTCAGTGAAGCCTCTCAGAGACCTTATAAGGATATGTATATGTGCTAATAAGTGCTGGGAAATGTCATGAATATGTAACAGGAATGTAAGGAACAAAATTGTGGACACGTGAGCTGTAGCGCAGATACCCCTGTGTGCATTTCGGGAGCTGATTCCGAGGGCAGCCAGCATGCTGCAACCATGCACTGCATTATATCAAAGAATGTCTGGCTGCTAAAACTCACAAATTAAGTCTCAGAGGTTCCTTTTAAGAACAGATTTTAGGCAACTTAAGTTTTCTAAATCAAAAACCAAAAAGTTTCTCTTCAAACAGGACAAGAGGAAACGGCCTCAAGCTGCACCAGAGGAGGTTCAGGTTGGACAATGGGAAGAATTTTTCACAGAAAGAGTTGTTAAGCATTGGAATGGGCTGCTTAGGGAAGTGGGGGAGTCACTATCCCAGGAGCTGTTCAAGAAACAAGCAGATGTGGCAATTGCTATCGTCTAATTGACAAGATGGTGATCAGTCAAACGTTGGACTCAATCCTTGAGGTCTTTTCCAACTTTAATGACTCTCTGACTCTATGACTGGCTTTTGTTTAATGTGAAAAAAAGTTCATTTTTCCATCTTCAGGAAAAAAGAAAGAGATTAAAATTGTTACAGCAATGGTAAAAAAGTTGGAGAAACCAAATTTTATTCTGATATTGGCTTAAAACTTTCATTTTTTGAGAAAACCACCTTAACAAAACTAGCAACAATATTAAAGGCCTTTTATACTAGCAACAGACCTACACAATTAAAAAAAAAAAAAAATCTTAAGAACTCCCAATATGTAAGTCTCTAACCATGCTCCAAAAAAACTGACTAAAAATTGAGGGTCCTAAGGTTAAAGAAAGTATACTTTCGAACCAATGAGCCACAAAATCAGATCTCTCTTTACAGCAACAATTGAACAGAATGAGTGACTCCCTCTCTGCTTTATACTTCTCATGTGATGAGTCTTTTAATCTTTTTGCTTTAACCATCTGTGGCCAGGTTTTGGTTGTGGCGGGAGCTATAGGGGTGGCTTCTGTGAGAAGCTGCAAGAAGCTTTCCCCATGCCTTACAGAGCCAGTGCCAGCTGCCTCCAAGATGGATGCACCACTGTCCAAGGCTGAGCCCATTAGCAAATGTGGTAGCACCTCTGGGATAATGTATTTAAGAAGGGGGAAGAAAAACCCAAAGAGTTTTGCTTCTACTAAAAACTTATATACTTCATCTGGAACAGTTCTCACCAAAAGACATATTTATTGAAGTTAATAGAGTGCAAACACAAAAACTAGGAGGATTTTTTCCATTGTCTTATTTCAAAATGCTTAGCTGGCAGTTGTAAACAACAAACAAGTAATAACAACAAAAATCAAAGATAAATATTTGCAAAGCTTCTTTTTTATTAATGCTTCTCATTCTTGAAAAGGTTTGTATCTGCATGTAAAAATCGGAGCAGCTATTGCTGCTCAAAAAAAAACTTCAAGAAAAACCAAGCTAAGCTTAGCATGTCAGAACAAAAATTCACTTAACAAAGCCAATGCTCTTTCTCTGTCAAAACCATAGTAGATACCCAGGTCAGGACATTTCTACATAATGCTCTCTCATCATCCAGAAAATCCAGGTTGAAGGATTTCCTACTAAGAGGCAGAGAATTTAACAGCACTCAAGAGATTAGTCTTCCATGAATTTGCACAGCTGCTCTTTGGCCATATAAACAACAGTCCTCACACAACATTGGATGAGGGTATCACATGCAAAATCAAATTAAAAAAAGAAAACCCCCCTGAAGATGGGGCAACTTTTAGATAAGGTTTATAAACACTGTAAAATATTTAAGAAAGTGATATATTCCGTATGATTTGGATAGCAAAAAATTACCTGGACAAACATGAATGAATACACAGAAAATACAAATGGCAAGATGCACAAATGGCAACGATGCTTCAGAACAAAGAGTTGCCCATGGCCTTTACACCTCAAAAATTCCTCTGAATAGTTTGTTCTCTTCTAGTAAGTCACTAGTCTTATTTGTACAATTATTTTCTTTTTGTTAAAAAAGGAAAATAAAAAAGTTAAAAATCTAAAAAAATTTATTTTGAATCAATCCTTACTGAACCAATCTCCAATTTGCTATTTAAGCTAGCTACAAATTTATGCTAATACAAAGAAGTACAGTCACCAAAATAAATAGTATGACTCTCTGCTTCTTCCTGCACCCCTTAAATACCTGAAGCTGGAAGCAGTGGGCAAAATGCAGCTTTGGTTTGGGTAAAGTGATCCAATCATTTTCACACCACATTGCCCAACAGGCTGATGTGCTATAGGCATAAGAAAGCAGGCAGAACAGATAAAAGTAGCTTTTTTTTCACTCTCCTTCTCCTAAGTGAATTAAAGCAAACTTACGCATTATGACTGAGCCATAATTATCCACAAAAAGCAGGGGGCACACACAACAAAAAAACCCAAACAAGCAAAAAAGTTAAGACATCTGAGCACAGTGTTCCACAAAGAAACACCAGAGGACACTATGGGAGGAGGGAGGAGTATGTGACTTCCAACAGTGTCAAGCCATTACAGGGTCAGGTCCCAGCAGGCAATTTCAACTCTGACAAAGTCTCTCCTTGCTTTACCTTCCCATTAGTAAGATATCTATTGGAAAATTACTCTCTGCATGCCCTCTGCAAAAATTATTGACTCAATGAGGGCATCAGCTCACACCTTGTGGTAATGGGATCCTCCTAAAACATAGTTTTAATTACAGCCATGGACAGATACACGTGTGAAATCTTTTTCTGCAGACAGTTGTGATGCTCTTTTTTTAACTGATGCATCAAGGCCTCTGCAGATTTACACAGAGGACATACAGATGCTCTTAAACACTACAGAATGGCAAAGGCCCATGAATTTTGGCTTTAATATTATGGGATAGAGACAATCTTCACCTCTTACAAATCAGACTTCACTGTTGCACAGAAAAGGTAAAGGGACATGGGATATACCACAGACAGGTTAATTCACAGGGACAAGGACTTTCTCCACAGTTTGCTGGGAACTTCTACAGCTTCACTCACTGCTGAGATATTTCTACAAGACTGCCCTAGAGATGAAACTGAGAAGGTGAGTATTAAATAGCTATTATCTTTTGGATGCCTTCAGAGCCATGAAGCACGCATAGAAATGCTGGCAGAGCCTGTCAATCTTAAAAGGAACACGTTCTTAGAAGGCAGGCAGGATCTGCACTTTGTGTCACAACTCCCAGACTCCCAAGTTTGATTACTGGGAAAGAGTAGCGTCTCCCGTCTTTACTTACTAAAGTCAAATTGTGTCTTCACAATAAACACCGAGCAGTTTCAGGAATATTGGTTGCTTTCTGCTGCTCTTCTGTGGTTCACACCCATCGCTATGGCAACCCAACTGCATATACACGGTTAGGGTAGAAGGAAAGGAAACCCCTTCCACTAGAAAGTGTCCAATACTGTCATCTGCAAACCAAACGTGACTCTGTTGCCATGAGGAAAAAGAGACTAATCACACACAACAAGAAAAAGCAGCTCTCCGAAATCCCACTTAATATGGTAATACTTAACTAGACAACAGCATACTCTCAAGTCTCAGTTGACAGGAAAAAAACCAAACTCAGTTACAAACCCAGAAGATAAGCAAGATACACCAAATGCCACCCCTAACCACAACGAGCTAGTGTCTTCAGGTACTAATAGCAGTTCCTCATCCTTACCACCCAATGTCCTGCATTTCTATTCTCAATTCTAAACTACTTCATCTCCTTTTACTGGTAAAAATCCAAGACGCACTTCTGTTCTACTCTTAATTCTTTGATTCCCTTCCTAAGGAAGTATCTGCAAATATAGTTTGCTTTCAAGAATATTTCAAGTCTCTTAAATGTTCTCGGTTTATACTTCCTAGGCTAGTTTACTGTTTTTTCCTTACTGTTACTGTTCAATGCTTTAGTACAGGCAAGAGTATCCAGGTACTTTTCCCATCACACTAAAACACATCATAATTTTAAAAACACATCAGTTGTGAAAAGAAATCAGGGACTGTTATACATCTGTAAAGGAACAAAACAAAGAATTTAATCACTGAATGCCTCCTACTTCACTTTTTTGGACTTCAGAGAATGCAGTATACTTTGTACAATGTACTGTGTATTTTTTCTCTCATTTGTTAGGAATTTAATCAACTCTCTCTCCCTGTAATTAGGCGCAAGAATGTATTTAGTTATGGTTTTATGAAATCAGAAGGAGACAAAGAAGTAAATTTATCACATAAAATACTGTGTGTTCTCACTGATCATAGTGCAAACATTTTCTGGGATACTTTAGGAGTACAAGTGATTCTACAGATGTTGTTATCCTCTTTTAGTCAGTGTCTGAGACTGCTTCTAGAACACTGTCTCCAGTTTGGTTCTCACAGTTCTCCCTTTCCTCAGTTCAAGGAGGAAGAACTGCAGAGAGGCCAGAGCTACTAAGACAGTCGGGGATCTAAAGCAAATTACCTGTGAGGAGAGACTGAGGACTTGTTTAATGAAGTGGAAGCCAAGGGAAAACTTTATAGACACTTAAAACTAAAAGAGCGCTTACTGAGATGACTTTCTGCTTCTTGTCAGCAGATTGCACAACTAATAAACAACAATAAAACTACATACTGCAGCTTGGGAGGTTCAAGTAGAAACTTACCACTGTCTTCTACAGCATATTTGTTTTCAGAAAAACAGGAAAAACAAAGGTTTTCTGCCGAAAAGCCACAAGAACACCTTCTGAAACAGGAATGTTGGTGTTCACAATGATACCAATACAACACATCAACTAGAATACCAATAGCTTCAGGAAAAGTTGGTAGTTAAGCTGATCTCTCCCACCTTCTACAAACTCTTCCATGAATCTCTTTTCTAACACTGCATTATCTGTATCAATCATGCCATGTTTGTACTTCTACTCAACAGTGAATCCAAAAGAACTAACAGTATCTTGATTATTAAACGTAGTACTTAAAGCCACTAACAAGTGCAGTAACCACCAAAATCACCAAACAACTGTTAGGCATTACCAAGATTTTTCAAAACCAACACAGTAATTTTTCTTTATGTAAGTGAACAAGGCTACCTATAGTTTGCCCAATTTATACCACAGCAAAGAAAACAAATAAAAATGTCTTAGCAGGTAAGAGTTAGAGGTGCTTTTTTCCCATATTGCTATGGACAGAAATAGAGGAATAGAACTTCCAAAATTTCACTTTTACAGAAATTTAACATTGAAACTAAAACCAAAGCCTGAAAAAAAGCATGCAGAAGACACAAACAATAAAAGAACAACATGGAACACAGGAATAAAGGACAGCAGTGAGCAAGGCTGACAACAGTGTTAAAGGAAGCAAGTAAGTTTGTATTAAAAATTCTGAGGAGAAGAATGGCTTTTCAGATTAAACGGTCATGAAAGTGACTAAAAACACCCAAGAGAAAAAACAAGCAGTAAACAAATGAGTGGGATAATTTCAAGGATTAACTTGGACAGAACTCAGAAGAGACTGTCATGGAGATCAGTAATGATGACACTGAAAAAGCCAAATGGATACAGGGACAATGGAAGAATATTTTTAATGTTTAACAGTAAGTTTATAGGATAACTAATATAACAAGGTCAATCTCATTCTGTTGAAATCTTCCTAATTCACCTCGTTTTAACAGATTTTCAAAAAGACACAGCAGAACACTTAGAACTAACTAGTGCACAGCAACTGAGATGGAAATACAAGTTTCAGTCTGCCTCATGCACAGGAACAGGTTTAAGACACTCCAGTTTAACTAAAATTAAATTCTACTTCTGATGATGCAGTTGCAAAATTTTATATGTAAAGCATGGGTGACAAAAACCTTTACTATGTCATTTATACATATGATAGTAAATGCTCCTTTGCAGAACAGTACAAGGAAAGAATAAGACAAGAAAAACAGAGAGTAATGAAAAAATTGTTACAGTGAAGTTTCAGGAAACCAAAATCCACAGGAACATGCTATTTACAAAAATTTAAGTAGTTCACATACATTATGGATGCTAATTTGAAAGTCATGTCAGACACATTACAGATTTGACTTTATCTGAAACATGGGAGGCAAGGCACACAGAAGCGTAAGTGGGAAACAGCATCAGTACTGCATTTAGGGCCACGCTCATGTATTTCACACACACTGATGTCTTCTAAAGTAACTGGAGAAACAACTCACCACTGCTGCTCTCAGCCTGCGTCTGATTAAGGGAAGACTCTGCTCTGTGCAAAATCTTCTGTTCTTTAGCCTGCAACAAGAAAACAACCACTTTTAATAAAAGCCAGTACACGCTCTTTCCCACAAAAAAAAAACAAAACAAAACAAAACAAAACAAAACAAAACACCACCAAGTTTTGACAGCAAACCACGCAGTTTGATGCCTCATATCTCTCCAATGCCTTCCCGTCAATTCTACCCCTTTCTGTTTCAAGCAGAAAGCGCGAAAGAGTTCCCTGAAACAAGGCAATAGTTATTTCTTCCCAGCTCCGAGCAGACCCTTTGCCAGTTCCAGCACAGACGGCAAGGAAGGCCGCGCTGCTCTTCCCCGGGGGCACTGCAGCGGAGAGGGTACCGCGGCGGACACTGCGCCAGAGCCGCGGCGGCTCGGGAAACGCCAACGGGGGACCGGGGGGAAGAAGAAGGCGAGGGGTTGCGGAGGAGCAGCCCGCCGAGAAACAGCCCCGGCTCCATGCTGGGAGCCGAAGCCGCTTTTCCCTCTCTCCCAGTCCCTTCCCGGCCTCGCACAAACCGAGGAGCGGCCCCTACGGCGACGACACTGCCACCACCCGCTCCGGCGCACCTCTCTGACGTCACTATTCAGCGACGCGCGGCGGTCCCTGCAAACACGGCGGGAGGGGCGGGCCCTCACGGGGAGAAGGCGGGGCGGTGGCGTGCGAGGGGCGTCCTGTGGCGTCCTGCGGCCAGGGGCGTTCCCGCGCTAGGAGAGCTTTGCGGAGCTCGGGCGGGCATCTGAGTAAAAGATGCTGGGAGCTTAGAATCGCTTCGCAGACGTCCTTTGTGGACGTTCTTGGGCGCCTGCAGTGGCTCGGGGGAGGGCGCGAGGGCGGAAATGCGTGATATTAATGCCAATGCATGGAGCTACTAAAATATATGTAGGAAATTTTAAAATATTTAAAAATATGAAAAAATAAAGTGTATTTCATGCTAGCGTGTCTAACTTGAAGTGAGTCGATTCAGCCTCCATTCCACCGTAATGCTGCAGGAGATTTGCTCTTTGAAAAATAACGTTTCGTTCCGCGGGTTCCCTTTGCTCTCTGTGGTCCCGCAGCCTTCCCTGCCCTCTGCGCACCCACAGCTGCCCGTAGCGGGTCTCTTCCTGGAATATCTCCCTTTCCCTCGTCCCTCCGCTCTCGGCAGTCCGGCCACGCCGAGCAGGTGGCTTCCGAAAACCGCGCGTTCAGCCAACACACCGTTTCGTGTCACACCGGGGCTGCCCCGGCCGGGTCTGTCCGTGCGCGGGCCCTGCCGCCCACCGGGGTGGAGAATCCAAAAGGAGACGGGGCTAATGTGTTTGTCCGAAACACCAGTAGCCAGGTGGCTGTGGAACCAACCAAGGGCTGTTGGTATTTAACATGCCTTGAGAAAGAACAAGCTGTGGCTGGAGAAGGCGCCATGCAGCACTTTTCTGGGACAAACATCCTTGGTCTAGTTCACGGAGACCCAGCAAACAAAAGCACCAGCACAGAAACGGCCATGCAGTATTGCCCAAAGGTCGATCTAGTAGGAGGGATAAGACTATCCAAACTCCCCGAATCCCTCTGACTCATTTCCAGAAAAGTCTACAAGAATTGACTGTCCTTTTCTTCTTTTTTCTTTCCTTACTTCCTTTTTCCTTTTTCCTTTTCCCTTCCCTTCCCTTCCCTTCCCTTCCCTTCCCTTCCCTTCCCTTCCCTTCC